AACACCCACCCTGGCACTGGCATCAGGACAGGCTCTTAAATGCCCCCTGGGAATCCCAAAAAGCATCAGGGGGGCTCAGAATATCCCCAGGGGGCTGCAGCCCCGTGACAGGGTAAGAGCACCCACACCCTCCCCTCCTGTCCTGTCCATGGGGCTGATGCTGCAATGGTGGCAACTCCTCCTGGTCCCCCAGCACCCTGTAGCCCCTCATGGGTGCAGCCACCCCCAGGAGAGGTGAGGACACAGCCTGGCTGTAACCCAGGGCCCCAAACCCCCCATGCCCGTCCCTGGCTCCCGGCGTGTTTTCCCCGTGGCCCCAGACCGTGACCTGGGGTTTCAGATCCTGTTTGCACAGCTGTGCCACCCCCGGGCCCCTGCGTGGGACGCTGGAAAATGGTGTCACACACAAGTAAGTGTCAGCACCCTGCTCTTCTGGGGCACTTCCTCCCAAGGGGCACCCACTGCCACCATCCTGGGGGGACATGAGGCCTGGTTGATGTCCCGGCTACTCCAGGGACAGATTTAACCCTCTTCTCTCATCAGGGGTTTGGGACAATGACGGGCACCTCCCAGCTGTTGGCATCCATGGCAAGCCAAGGAGGGCTGGGAGGAGCACCCAGGTGCCCCCAAACCCCCCCAGACCGTGTCACTGTTGGCAGAGCCCCCTTTCCCCAGGTTTTGGTGGGTGATGTGGGATCTGGGGCAGCAATGGGGGTCCCGCTCGGCCCCTCTCCCAGGGGAGCAGCAGCCAGGCTGATGCCTCCCTGTTCCTCTCCCACCTTAGATCCTCAACATGGAAGATGACCAGAACTGGTACAAGGCTGAGCTGTTTGGCTGCGAGGGCTTTGTCCCCAAAAACTACATCAAGGTCAAGCCACACCCGTAAGTGCCATCCCACCGTGTGGGGAAGGGGGGCTCAAGCACCCACCACCCAGGCAGCGATTCCAACGGTGCAATTCCCAAAGTCTACCAGGAGCCAGGGTAGTCCCACACTTGGGGAAACTGAGTCACAGAGATGAGGTCTGACTGCTCAGTCAGTCTGCCATTGCCACCACAGCCCCAGGGGACAGGAGGCAAAGGAACACCCACGTACCCCCAACACACCAAAATCCAACCCTCACACCAAGCTGCCACTAAATAAATGATAATTGGGGAACAACAAAGCATTATGGGATTACAACTGCATTAGACACAATCCTATTACCGTGTTATTAAAGCCCACTGTAATCCATCCCTGATTTAACCTGTGTTTTATGTATCATTAGCCCCCGGTAAATCACATTTAAATGCCAGAGAAAACGTGTGGGCTCGAGGCAGCCTGGGGCACATCCCGCTGCCTCTCCAGCTTCGGGGTGGCTGAGGTGCAGCCTCTTCCATGCAGCACCTGGAAGGTTGACTCTGGGCTGAAATCTGTGGCTGATCATTCATGGGACAGGTAGCAGAGGGTCTCCACGGCCTGAGGGTCCGAAATGCCCGGACACGGCCTTGGCAGGGATGGGAGATGGGGACTCTGCTCCTCCACCTCCTTTTGGCAGCTGCCACCAAAGCAGGCAGGAGGGTTTTATCCTGGCATGGAGGCTTTTATCCTGGCATGGAGGGTTTTCTGCTCTACACCTGGAAGGGGCCAAGGGACACGGAGGAGGGGACGGGCAGCAAAGTGGGGGACGAGGCACGTGATGTGAGCGGGCAGGTGACAGGATGCGGTCGCGGCTGTCAGCGATGCTGCGCTCACCCTGCACGTGGGAACACCTCTGCACCCACAGCACCCTGTGGTGCCTCACCCCACAATAAATCGGGAGGGGGAGGGAAGGGAGTGACTGCTGTGGGGGGCTCCCAGCCCTGTGTGGAGCCCTATGGAGACCCCTCTCCTGCTGGCAGCGGGGCTCTCGCTGCCTCCATCCTGCAGGGTGGGGACGTGGCACTGGGGTGTCCCCGGGTGTCCAGGGCTGCCCGTGTGGCTCAGCCCGGTGTCCCTCCCAGGTGGTACGCGGGCAGGATCTCCCGGCAGCTGGCAGAGAAGCAGCTCCTCAAACGCAATCACGTGGGAGCCTTCCTGATCCGCGACAGCGAGAGCACCCCGGGGGAATTCTCCATCTCCGTCAAGTGAGTGGCCCTGGGACACGTGGCAGGATGGGGGTCCCTGCAGCCCCCGCTTTGGGGACTGAGGCATCAGGCCACCCTTGCGTGGGGTCCCTCTGACAGTGCTGGGGAAGGGGCGAGCACCCTGCCCGGCCCCTGCCACCTCGAAGGGGTTTGGGGCTGCCGAGCCATGTCCCGGCACATCCAGGCACAGCCTCGCACAGGGCTTTCCTTTCCTTCCTCTCCTTCCTCCCCCCATATCCCCGCGCTCCTCCTCCAGCCCCGCTGCTTCCTGCTGCCTGCACCGCTGCCTCGCCCCCTCCCAGGGGCACCCCTAAACCCAGCCCTGTGGGTGAGGATGGAGCTGGGGACAACCTGCAAGCACAGCCCAGGGGACACGGCCTGCGGGAACAAGCTGCCGGGAGCATCCCCAGGCATGAAGGGCTGCAGCATCTCGATGCCTTTGGCATCGGCAGCCAGGGCAGAGCCTATCTCCGGGCATCTCATCCCATCCCTGCCCCTTCCCTGCCCCAGCTGGGGGAGCAGGAGCCGGCCCCAGGCCAGCCAGGCACTTTCTCACACTGCTAATCCCTAATGAAATGTTTCGGGAGGTTCTTGCCCATAATGAAAGGGAGCCGTGCTCTGCTGTGCGTCACCAGCGTGGCAGGTCCTGCCCCTGCCTGGGGCTCTGGCAGAGGCAGGTCCCTGCAGTGCAGACACCCCAACCTGGCACCCCCAGGTACACTCCAAGGGGTGCCAGCATGGGGGGCTGCAAGGGAAATCCTGACCTGTCCCCTCCTCCTGCGGCTTTGGGGTCCCCAGGAGTGCAGGGAAGCTGGGAGCCCAATCCCAACATTTTCAACCTCCTTCCCCGTACGTGCTGAGCTGAGACCTGCAGCTCTCACCACACGTTCCTCAGATGTGGCCCTGGACAAAGCCACCTACCCTACACATGTCTGGCACACTGCCCTCCCTGAGCCCACGGGCATCCCACTGTGCCAGGGCCAGGACTGAGCTTCAGCTGCCTGTGGGATGAGTTGTAGCACGTCTCAGCTGTGAGCCCTTGTTGCAGGACTAGGAGCGACCCCAGTCATCCCCACCATGGCAGGATGGGTATAGTGAGACCCCTGGGCTCCTTCCAACCTCCTCAGCACCTCCAGGTTTTCCTACCTTGCCAGAAGAGCATCTGGGTGCTGCCAGCGTCCCAAGGCCAGGATAACATCCATCCTCCTTCCACAGCTACGGGAAGCATGTCCAGCATTTCAAGGTGCTCAGGGAGAGGAACGGCAAGTATTTCCTCTGGGAGGAAAAGTTCAATTCCCTCAACGAGCTGGTGGATTTCTACAGGATGACCACAATCGCCAAAGAGCAGCAGATCTTCCTCCGGGACGAGGACCAGAGCCAGGAGGTACAGCCATGGAAGGGGCCATGGGGACATGCAGAGCTGGGGTGTGGGGTGATGGCACAGCTGCTCCCAAACCCCTGCGTGAGCCCCCTCGAGCCTCGGTGTCCCCACAGAGGGGGGACAGGGACATCCTTTGGACACCTGGCCCTCAGCTCTCCAGTGTGGAGCAGGAGAGGGTGCAGCAGCACTGCAGGGAGGAAAATCCCCCCGAGCAGCTCAGCAGGAGAGAACAGGGCAGGGCAAGGCAGGTCACCCCAGGCACTTGCCACCATCTCTTGGGCCAGGGATCCTGCCCAGGGCAGGTGGCAGAGCCTGACCAGCCCAGGACAGAGCACAGCCAGCCTGGGGCAAACTCCAGCAAAGCGAAGCCCTGGGGCAGTGGCTGTGGAGGCAGCAAAACTGGACCCTGGGAGCTGGGATGGGAGAGGCTCCAGCACCCAGAAGGGCCTGGAAAGGACCTGGGAAGGATAGGAGTGCCAGCTGCCTCCAAAGGGAAGGGGTCCCCTGAGCACCCATCTTGGCTCTCCCAGCAGCAGGAACAGGGAGTTTCCTGGGCTCTGGGGTGCTCCCCTGCACCCCGGGCTCTTCCCTGCATCCCACGCTGCTCCTCTGCACCCCAGGCTGTGTCCTGCACCCCAGGGTGTTTCCCTGCACCCCAAGGTGCTGCTCTGCATCCCTGGCTCTGCCCTGAGCCCCAGGCTGTGGCTGCATCCCAGGATGTTCCCCTGCACCCCAGGGTGTTTCCCTGCACCCCAGGCTCTTCCCTGCACTCAGGGCCATCCCCAGCATTCCGTTCTTCCCATGGCAGGATTTCCCTAGCTTCCCTCTCTCCCCTCAAAACAGGCACCCCAAGCCCTCCCAGGGCTGGTCCTTGTCCCACAGTGGCACAATGTCCCCATCACTCTGGGGACCCAAACAGTGCAACGTGGTGCGGAGGGGCTGGTGGATGGGGACCCCTCTCCCCCCGCCAACCCCTGCCCTCAACTTCCCTCCAGGTGGGCAGACCCCGATTCGTGCAAGCCCAGTTCGACTTCCCAGTCCACGAGGGCTCCCAGCTGCCCTTCCTCCGCGGGGACATCATCGAGGTCCTGGACTGCCCTGACCCCAACTGGTGGCAGGGGAAGATCTACGGCCGGGTCGGCTTCTTCCCTCGGAATTACGTCCACCCCATCCGCAAGTGACTCCCCCCCGGCCCCGCGGGCGCGGCAGGACCCGCCCCACTGCCCCCACCCACCGGAGCCGCTTCGTGCCCACACACGGGCTGTGTGTCCCTTCGTCCCCACAGCCATGAAAACTTTTCCAGAGCCACAGTCCAGTGGGATGACAGCAACAGAGGGGGAGAGCAAGTGCCCCCCAAACCTTGGCTCCTCTCCGGACCCTGTAAGTGAAGAACCCACCTCCAGGGAGGGCTGCAGGCAGCAAGGGTGCAGCTGGGCTCTGTGACCCCATGGAGGGATGCCAGGACTCCAGGTGCCAGGGGAGGCTGATCCAGGGGGATTCAGTCCTGTGGGTGCTGTTCATAGCTGCAAATTGTGGCTTTATAGTATTTTTTTTTATTTAGAGCTAGTAAAATGAGTTCGGGTGACACCCACGAGTGTGACTGCTCCTTTCCCACCGCTGCCAAGGTGGTCCTGTCCTGAATTCATGCCCCCGCTGCTTTGTTGTGGATTTGTTCCAAGTGAAGCCCCCATTTTCCCACCCAAATCCCTGTCCCAAACCCCTCCCAGGGACTTGCTGCCCTCACAAGTGCCCCCCACACCTCATACCCCCTGGGATGCACTCAGGGTCCACAGTGCTGAGGATGCCCAGCTCACTGCACCAGTGGATTTAAACATCACGTGTCCCAAGTGTGACAAATAAAAGCTATCACCCAAATCCCCATTTTCCCCCCCTCCCAGCAGCTTTTCCCCTTTCCAGGGGCTGGCTGGGCACTAGGCAAAATAGGCATAACAGAAAATATTGACACACATCAGGACAACAGCATTGATACCGCAGACACGGGCCCAGAGTGGAGGTTCTGTGGTGTCCTTGAGGGCCACAGCTGGGGGTCCCACGGCCTTGGACGGCTGCTGGATGTCTGGGTTGGATGAGCAGGAACCTGGCACAGAAATACAGTGAGTGTGGGGGACAGACGGCCCTGGGGACCAGCCACCTCCTGGCAGGAGGTGTCTGTGCCATCCTGCTGCCCATTACAGGCACTGCTGTGCCTCCCCTGCCAGACACCCCAAAGGACACACTCACCATCGGGGGGTCCCTGGGATGTGCCACACACAGGGGGCTGGGGAGGCTCCTGCGAGAGGGTCCACCAGGTGAGATCCTTCAGCTGGAAACCAGGGTGAGATTTACTGAGAAAACCCCCCAGACCAGACCCCTGTGGGACCCCCCTGGCTGAGCTCAGGGTGCACAGAGTGACACTGATGTCTCCATCCAAGGAGATCTGGTGGGGGGAGAGGGTGAGGGGTCTGGGTGCCCCACTCACCTGGGCTGGGGGCGGTGGGGGGGTCAGCAGGCTGCCCCCCACCACGACAGCAGCTGTGGCAGTGGCCAGGAGCACAGCAAAGTGCAGGTAGTGGATGTCAGTGAGCAGCCAGGGCCGCTGGTCGGGGACCCCACAGCGGGGTGTGGGGTGTGCCAGCTCCAGCCCCAGCCTGGCCAGTCCCAGCACCAGCCCTGCCATCAGGCCCCAGAAAGCTCCCTGCAAAGCCAAGGTCCGTGGGGGGGTGGCTGGAGCAGGATGGTCACCCCACAGCAGGGATGAACCCCCTGGGAGCTGCTCCTTCCAGCCAGCCCTGGGAGAAGGTCCAGTTGGGGCATGTTGGGGCACAGCTGAGCCCTGGCCCCCCCTCTGCAGGGGATGTCCTCTGCCACCCCCATTTGCCATACCACACTTGGTGCCCATGCATGGCAGCACCTGCCACCTCCTCCTCCTCTTTTTCGCACCGGACACCCACCAGCTCCCAGGGGAACACCAGCCAGGCTCGGTTCCTCTCACCAGCCCCTCCAGCATCGCCCCCTCCCTTCTTCCTCCTTCCGCCCCACAACCCCCCAGGCCCTGCTGGGTTCCTGGGATTAGGGCAGACAGGGGGGTGTTGGTACCACCCATGTCCCCAGGCTGTCCCCAGGGCCACCCCAGCCATGTACCTGCTCGTTAGCTCGGGGCCAGAAGACAGCCAGGACGAAGACGGCGGTGACGGGAGGAGCCAGGTAGCTGGTGACAGCCTGGATGTAGACGTAGAGCTGGCCACCACTGGAGCTCTGCAGGATGGGGATCCAGACCACGCTGAGGGCCACCAGCACCACCGTGACCACCCTGTGAGTGGCAGGGAGGTGGTGCAGGTGATGTTCCTGTCCCACCTGCACTTCTTGGCACCTGCAGCATCACTGTGGCAATGGGGGTCCCCAAAAACAGGGTCCCAGTGCCAGTGCAGGAGATGCAGGTGGGTCAGGGGGAGGACACTCGCTGCTGGGTGACATCCTCAGGGCCACAGAGGGTGCTAATTATGCCTGTGCTGGTTCCATTCTGGGCAGGTGAGCACTCCTCAGGCCCCTGCCCAGCCCCAGGGGGCTGCTAAACTGGATCCCCCCATGGGGAAACACCAGGCAAAGGGTACTTTCACTATGAAAAGCCACCAGCTGCAGGTGTTGGGTTCTCTGGCCAAACTTGCTCTCGGCATCCCCATGTCCAGTCAAGGCACTCAGCTGAGAACTGGGGACCTGGGCTGAGCTGCCCCGTGCTCAGCTGCCCCGTGCTCAGCTGCCCTGGCCAGGCTCTGACAGAGGGGTGTGTTAGTCCCCAACACCATCCTGACCTCATCCTCGCCCAAATCCCAGCCACACCCCACAGCATCACCCTCCTCCCAAGCACGAGGGGTTGGCCAGACCCCAGATTTTGGGCCCAAGCCCAAAATGGGCAGGACCCATCCCAAAAGCTGCCATATTTATAGCACGGCTTATTTACAGCTTCACAGAATTTCCTACATCTCCATCTGCTCATCTCAAAAAGCAGAAGTAGGAAAAAATAAGAGAAAAAATAAGCCATGAAAGCAGCTCTGTCCAGAGCCCCCACTGCTGCCAGGTGCTGGGGAAAAGGGAACCAGCCCGAGCGTAAAATGCACACCCTGACCCACGGGGTGGGAGAAATGCCTCTGTTCAGAATGTTTGTGAGCCACAGAGGAGAAAATCAGAGAATGATGGAAGGTTTGGCTGGAAAGGGACCTTAAAGCTCATCTCATTCCACTCCCTGCCACAGTCAGGGACACTTCCCACTAGACCAGGTTGCTCCAAGCCCTGTCCAACTCAGTCTTGATGCTAAAGGACCGTGGAAAAACACAGGAGTTCTGAGTGTGGCAGGAGCTGCGAGTGCCAAGTGTCCGTGCCCTGCTCCACACGCAGCCCGGGGTGGGTGTCTGGGCAGGCAATGGAGAGCAGCAGCCGGCACAGCCTGCTGCAGGGCGCTGGGGGAATTTGGGAAGGATCGGGTGTTCCAACCACCACGCCACCGCCTGGGCATGGAGCACACATCAAACACCAGCGGGGATTTCCAGCCAGGCACCGCGGCCCAGCAGGAGCTCAAACGCCCAAGTCCAGGAACTGGGAGCTCTTTCTGATCCTACAATCAAAGCCCTTTCCTCCCTCTGCTGGGAGGGGGTTGGAACGAGATGTGATCTCCAAGGACCCTTCCAACCCAAACCATTCTGTGATTCCACGATCCCTGGATGGGGCATCCCCACCCCGCTGGGTCCGGGGGGGGGGGTGGCGATTGGCCTCCCCTGGCAGCTACTCAGGAATAACCCCAGGCTGCCTGTCTCTGTCTAAGCTGGCAGGTAGGAAAACATCAAACTTGCAACTTAAACAGCTTTTTCCCCTCTCCAAAGCGCTTATCGTTGGCTCTATCCCCGCGAACCGCAGCGTCCTGCTCGCACTAATCACCCGACACGCTAATGAAGCGCCGGGATCCACCGCAGCACCGACTCCCGCCCCGGGCGGGCAAAGCCCTTTGCAAACACTCATTATCCATCCTCGGGAAAGCTGTCCTGCGTTGTCACACCCTTGTCACCGGCAGCGAAGCCAGTGCCAGGGAGGGGCGAGGCAGGCCCTGAAGCAAGAGCTCCTCTTCCCATGAGGGAGCACGCGAGACCACCGTTCCCCAGCATCACTGCCCATCCCCTTCCCACCCTCCGGAGGTGGAGGATGCCCAGAAACAGCTGCTCCTGCAGCCGCTGGACCAGCCAGCCCTCCCCGCAGCCCCAGCACAGCCCAGCCAAAGCCCTGACCCAGATTCCCTCCTTGTTATTGTCTGCCCCGCGCCGAGGACGCTCCCGGCCCCGTGGCACCGTGCGCTGACTCCGCCGCCCCGAGCGCGGCACCGCGGGCGAGTTCCCGGGCTGCCCGCGGGCACCCGCCGTCCCACGGGATCAGCCGGGGCATGTGTGGGCAGCGCTGCCCTTCGCCACGCGGCCAAGTTCCCCCGTGTGCTTCGTGTGCGACCTCAGCCCCGGGAGCAGCCGCGGCTTCCCGGGGGGAACGGGCTGGAGGCGGCGGGGAGAGGCTTCACACCGGCCAAACCGTCTGCATTTCCAGGGCTTTCATACATAAAATAACACAAGGGCTTGTTTTCCTTGCATAAACCAGGCTGAGCACAGGCATTTTTCAGGCTGGACTGGCCCCACCAGTCTCCCCGAAACCCCCGGTCACTACCTGCCCACGAGGAGCAGCTCCCGGTCACCGGCCCCCGGCCGCAGCTTCCTCCAGATGTCCATGGTGAAGAGGGTGCTGCTGCTGTTGAATATGGAGGTCAGGGATGACATGAGTGCTGCCATCATCACCGCGATCATCAGACCCCGCAGCCCTGGGGAGGAGAGGAAGTGTCAGGGAGCGGCTGAACCGGGAGAGATGGCATGGGACAACCCCAGGATAATGCCTAACCCTCTGCAGGCACACTCTGGGGACTCCCCTGGGGTAAGGATGGGGTTTGGGAACCCCCAGCTGCACCACAGGATGCCCAGACCCTGCTGTCACCCACAGGGTCACCCACATCCCCTGACCTCACTTTTGGAGCCGCCCTCGGAGGGGCTGCGTGGGCTGTCCCATGCACAAACCCACCCAGAGCATCCATGGGGTCCCCCCCAACAGTCAAGCCATGGCAGCAGCCAGGGTGCAGCAGAGCCCAGTGGAGATGGGGTGACCCCCTCCCACCCACCTACCGCTGGGCATCAGCTCCACCACCAGCTTGGGGTAGGCGATGTTGGAACAGCCCACGGCGGCCCCGCAGACACGGGTGCACTCCTCGGGGTCCACACAGGCCACAGAATCTGGGGGACAGAAACAGTGACATGTTGAGACCCCTCACAGGTCAGGGGCCAGCCCTGCACCCCCTCTCACCCGCTCCCACTGCGGCAGATATTGACCCTTCACCATGGCCATGGTGCCCAGACCTTTGCAGGGGATGGGGTGGAGAAACAGGGAGCACATCCTGTGTGGAAATCCACCTCTGCATCCCCACCTTATTACCTCATCAGCCTCAACACCATCTCTCTCCATCAGCGAGATCCATCCCAGCAGCATCCCCTCACCTCCTGCTGCTCTTACCTGGCTCAGCACCAGTTGGATCTACCACCACATTAAATCCAGTGACAGCTGCCCTGGGGGGACCTCCAGAGCCCCACCAGGACCCAGGGTCACAGCCAGAGGTGGCAGAGCCCCAGGGCAGGCACTGTCCATCCCCATACACATGGGGCCATCCAGGTTCCTGCACTGTTGTGGCAATTTCTCAGGCATGGGCAGCACTAGCAACTCCCAGGACATGCGTGGCACCACGCCAGGGCCATCAACACCCAATTATTTCTATGGCTCAACGAGCACTGAACCCTTTCTTTTTTTTTTATTGTTATGCTCATAAAATATTGAAATGGATGGAAATTAACGTCAGGCATAAATATGGATGGGCTGCCTGGCTCCCCGGTCCACACCCGCCCTCCCAGGAGCACGGGGACGAGCACGGGTGATCCCTGTGATGACAGGGAGCATCGTCCTGGTTCTCTCACGTGGTGACCCCCAACCCAAGCAGGGGGCAGCCCTCACCCCTGGTTTGCCTGAAACACCAGCTGGTGACACCTTGGGGCTTTCCATAAAGGAGTGTGGGGTGCACTGGGAGCGGGACACGGTGTGGGCAGATCACAGGCAATGCTCAGCACATCTCAGGGATGTCAAAAACTCCCAGCCTGGGCCGCCTTTCCCCAAGGTGAGAGCCAGCGCCGGGGCTCCGGTGACTCTGTCCCCCAGGAGCTGTGAGTAAAGCTGCCATCACCGTCCCTGCCTCAGTTTTCCCTCCAAACCACCACCTTGTGCTCAGCTCCATGCAAATGGTTGTTGGCTGGAGGGTGGAAGGCGCTCCAGAGGGCAAGGCAGTTGTCTGGGTGTTATATTCCTGCTGAAACACCCATCCCAGGGCTCAGCTCAGCCATGGAACCCCTCGGTGGGACCCTGGAGTGTGCGGGAAGCGGGAGCCAAGCCCAACAGAGCGGCCAGAGCCCCCAAGCCAGGAGCAGAGCCCAGTGCTGGCCCCCACTGCCTCTTTTAGGCCCTCTGCTAGAGATGGAAAATTAATTAGGAGCTTGTAATGACTGCTCCCCTCTGCAGCCGGGAGGAGCTGGCTGCAGGAGAGGGGCTGTGTCTGCACCAGGTGCTGCTTGTCAGGCTGGATCAGCCCAGGGACACTGGGAATGGGGAGGACTGACCTGCTCAGGCACAGAAACCTGTCCCTGCAAACAGGGGCTGAATTTGGGCGCTTAATTCACTGTGTGGGGCAAAGACTCCTGGGTGAACAAGCCCCCAGAAACTGGGGATGGGGGATCCGGGTGTCTTCGCCCCATACAGGGATCAGGTGATGCTCCAGGTGACGAGCTCTGCCATCCCAATCCACCCCCACCAGCTGTCTTCAGGAGCCAGTGCATCACACGATGGATGGGATGCAGCACTTACACCACAGGCAATAAATCATTAGCGCACACACCCCGCAAAAGAGCCCGTAAATCTCCTGGCACAATAAAAACAGCCGGAGCGGGTGGCGGTGGCTGAGGTGGGGACAACCACAGCACACTCCAGCCACGCCACACACACCCACACTCCATGCACCGAGCCAGGGCATCTCCCAACCTACCCAAGGGGGGACAACAACTGGAATGAGGCCCTGGAGCCGAGCCCTCCATGGGTGCTGGCTCAGTGCTTGCCTTTGTCACATTTACTGTCCTCTGCTCATCAGGGCTGGAATTTCACCTAAAACATCCAGTTTTGGCTCCAGTGCCCTCAGTCTCTGTTGTACCACTCACTGGTCAGGCCACAGCATGGAAGTGACATCCCACCACCGGAAAATCCCTAAGGGGTCAGCACAGCCTTTCCATAAATTCATCAGGTCCACCTGAAGCACCTCCTGAGCTGCTATTTGGTGGGAGCCAAATGCTTAATTCCCCCCTACACTGTAGATGTGGCACTTGGGGACATGGTTTAGTGCTGGACCTGGCAGTGCTGGGTTGGACTTGATGATCTTAGAGGGCTTCCCCAGCCTAAATGATTCTATGATCCCAACAGACAGCTGTCACATCCCTGTGTCCCCCAGCCCCGCTGCCGCCTCCTGCACAGGACAAAGCCGGGCTGGGCACAACCCCTCACCTGACTTGTCACCATGGGATGAGCAGGGCCACTGTGCCTGCAGAGAGGAGCACTTTGATGGCCGAGCAGCTGGGCAGACAGGCGGCTTCGCCTCGGGAGCCTGACTCAAGCAGGGCCCTCATTTATCCGGCTGCAGATCCAGATGAGCTGCACCAACGCGAGGGAGGCAGCGAGACACAGCCCATGGCACTTTCCTTTTTTGCATTGGCGCAAGAATCTGACCCCAATTCCTGAAATTCGTCTTCCTCTGAGCTTCCAGGAGAAAGGTCCATGTTTCTGGCTTGTGAGCCCCAACTGGTGAATCCAGGGTGGGGTTTTTTTGTCCATCTCCCAGTTATGAATGAAATCTGCCATAGCAAGGTCTGGTGACGTGACCGTGTCCATGTCCATGCTGCAAACCTTATAGAGGAAGGGACTGGACAGGACAGGACAGGACAGAATAGAATATTTTCAGTTGGAAGAGCCCTACAATGATCTGGTCCCACTGCCTGACCAATTCAGGGCTGATAAAAAAATTAAGGGCATTGTCTAAATGCCTCTTAAACACTGACAGGTTTGGGGCATTGACCACTTCTCTAGGAAGCCTGTTCCAGGACTGAACCATCCTCTCCCTAAAGAAATGCTTCCTACTATTCTGTCTAAATCTGCCTCCGCGCAGCTCCGACCCGGTGCTGCCCCCTGGGACCCACCTGGGCTCCGAGCTCCCACACCAGCACAGGAGGGGTTAACCACAGGACAGAGCTGTTTTCCTGGAAAATATTGACTTACCAGCTGGCACACCGGGAGAGGGAGGGATTTCAGGAGAGAGGCGCGCTTTTCTTTTTTTTTTTTTTTAAGACGAACACCCAAAGCCCTCCCCAGCCTCCCACCACCCTCCGGCACCCACAGCTCCGGGGGGTTCCCAGGCTCCGGGTCTGAGGCGTGAGGACACACCAGCCGAAAGAGTTAATCGGGGCAGGGCAGGGAATGTGTGAAGGCAACATGTGACTGCAGGTGGGGCAGGGCGGAGGGATGAATCACTCTTTTCCTTTTCCTCTTTTCACTTCTTGCTGTTACCTGTCCGGCCCCGGCACTGCGCGCTGGCAGGAGCCCCGAGCCATCGACCTGCCAGCCAGGGCGATGCACAGGAGGCTGACGGGGAGCGTTCGCCGCCGCCAGACCCACGGGCTGACCCGCTGCTCCAGGGGGGATAACCAGGGACGGCGTCTCGGCCGAGAAATCCTGCTTCTCGCTGCCCTTCATTAAGCCAGTTTTCTCTTTGTTTCTTTTTTTTCCCACTTTTTATTTCGTCGGGTGCGTTATCGTTGTCTTGGGAGAGCGGAGGATGAGGAGAGCGTGGACTCGGAGGTGAAGGACCTTCCTGGTGGTGCTCATACACCCGGGGCTGTCTCTGCCCCGTCACACAGCCCCGGCCGTGGGAAGCTCCGTGTTTATCTTGCCTGGAGCCCTCTCACCCCGCGGAGCCGGGAGCAAGCCAGAAACCAAATCCTCCTCCCCGGCAGAGAAGAGCTCCGGCGTGGCAGGAGCCATTGGAAAAGGGAGCGCTGCCTTTCCCAAGCTGCCCGTCGAACCAGGGAGGGTGAAGCAAAGGGAATCGTGTGTTTAAAGACTGGAGAATAATTAATTCCTTATTTATTGCCGACATCCGGCGCTCGCTGGGGGCACAGAGCTCCCCCGGGAGAGGCGCGGGGTCACCATGGCTTTCTCCCAGGTGCAGTGCCTGGACGACAGCCACGTCAACTGGAGGTCCAGCGAGTCCAAGCCTGAGTTCTTCTACAGCGAGGAGCAACGCCTGGCCCTGGAGGCACTGGCCTCCCGTGGCCGCGACGCCTTCTACGAGGTCCTGAAGAGGGAGAACATCAGGGACTTCCTCTCCGAGCTGGAGCTCAAGAAGATCCTGGACACGCTGGAGACGTACGACCCCGGCTCCGAGTACATCCCGCGCCACGGCGGCAGCACAGCGGGGAGCGAAGGGGATGGCAACAGCCAAGGGGACGAGCAGGACATGGCTCCTTCCCTGGAGTACTGGCCCCAGAGGTCCGACCGCTCCATCCCGCAGCTGGACCTGGGCTGGCCCGAGACCATCGCCTACCGCGGGGTCACCCGCGCCACCGTCTACATGCAGCCGCCCATCGAGGGGCAGGCGCACATCAAGGAGGTGGTGAGGAAGATGATCTGCCAGGCTCAGAAGGTGAGGCGTGCCGCGGGGACGGAGCAGGACGTGCCCCAGGGCATCCTGCTGGAAGTCCTGCTCTGCCAGGCAGTGCCTGTCCTGCGGGAAGCTGTGCCCAAGCAAAGGCAGCGCGGGCAAGCGTTCGGGTTTTTCCGTGGAACCAGTATTTGGGCGTCGGGTCTCACTGAGGATGCTGTTCACCTGGTCCAGCACTCCCTGGGAGGAACACAACCCTTCCCATGGTCCATATGGCCACGTTGTTAATCCCAGGGTCCCTACAGGGCTGTGGGGAAAACCGCTGCGGAGAAATATGGGTTGAGCTGCTTCCCAGCTGCGAGGCTGCAGTGCTGGGCACCCCACAGTTGTTGTTCCCAGTGTGACAGCACGTGGCAGCACGCAGGAACCTGGGGTCACGATCTGGCCTTGGGTCCACCAGCTGTTTGGCACATGACCCAAGGGTCATGGTCTGGCCTCCGTCCTTGTGTCCACTGTCTGCCCAGTGCGTGGCCCCGAGACCCAATGGGAGCAAAGTAGCCAAAGCCTCTGGTCTGGCACTGACACACGAGGGTCAAGTTTTGCCCAAGATAACTGTGGTGCTCTGAGCTGGCCTCATCATGGCTTTCAGAGGAAAAGGATGAGCCAGTGAGCAGGACAAGGCTGGGCAGATGCTGAAGGGGTTTGGGTTGAGACTTGTCCTCCCTGTGTCATCCAACCAAGGAGCAGGGAGTGGGGGATGCATGAGCAATGGGTTCAGGCTGGTGTCACTGGCAGGAGGACCAGGGAAGGAGGGAGATGATGGCATGTGTTGAAGGCCAGTGGTAGTGGGCAGAGGTTGTTGGTGTTTCCCAGTGATCTAATCCCAGCTGGGAAGTGCAGGAGGGGTCAGTACCTGCTGGTTTCTCGGTGTTTTGAAGCTCTTTGAGTTCTGTGCGTCCAATACTGTGAGCACTCCAAGGAAGGAGTATCCCAACCTGGGGATGCTTCAGCAGGAAAACAGGGAGACACTGCCAGGGTGGCTATGGAGCAGAGAGAGACAGGCTGGGATGCATCAGGTCTGCCTGGCTCCTCCAGGGACAGGGCTGGGGTTTGCAGATCCTGTCAGAAGAGAGGGAAACCTGGTGACATGCAGCCATCAGAGCTTCTCCAGGACCATGGGACCAGAGTTCTGAGCATGAACAGCCCCAGCTCAGGCAGGAAAACTAATCTCCCAACACATCCAAGGCTTACAGGAAAGGCTGATGTGGGTGTCAGGGCTGCCCACTGTGGGCAGGAGCCATCTCTGGCCACCGTCACCTCACGAAAGTCAGTTACCTGTCCTTACCTGTGACATTTTCCCCGCCAGAGCACTTTGTAGTGAGGGCAAAGGGAAGGGAGGGCTGCAGTCCCGTGGGCTGGAGGATGGGAGAATTATCCCACAACAAATAATGTCTCATCCCTGGGTCTTTCCTGCTGCCTCTGACTCGGGCTTGCAGCTCCTGTCTGGCTTTGCCTACTCACCACTTCCCACCTGCCCCACGCAAACGGCATCTCCTGAGTCATCCCACACCTCCTCCTGCTCCAGAGCCGGTGGCTGAGTCAGGCAGCTGCACATCCCCACCTCTCCTTGGAGCCTCTCCAAGCCACAGGGCCATGGCTGATGCTGCTGTGATCATCACCAGGACCTTGATGCCCCCTGAGCAGGGCTGGGCAGCAGAGCTGCCTCCTGGTCCAGGCGGTCCCTGCCAGTGGAATGAGACGTGGTGACACCACTGGTGACATGCAGAAGCCTCCTTGATGCTTATGGCACCCCAGCAAACATAGAGGAGGGTGAGCGCTTCATCCTGCAGGATGGCAGGAGTTATGGGATCTGGCAAGAGGGTTCTTCCGTGGTCTCCCACCCCGTATTCAAGGACCACAGTCACTGCAGCTGAACGTGCTGTCATGCTTCAGAGCCTGGGTGACCTTCTGTGGGTGCTCCTAAGGGTGGGGACACTGGGATAGACCACCCTCCTCTGTGCCTGCTGATTTTAGCCAAGGCTTAAGGTCTTCACAGCAGCTCAGAGGTCGAAGAGTTTGGCTGAGGAAGCTGAGGGTGGACAGAGGGACTGTCCTGCTGCCACCCCATCAGATGTCACATAGGCTGGCCATGCACTCTGTCCTCCCTGGGGAGATCCCTGCTGAATTGTCCCATCCCTCCAGACACCAGCAGTGCTCTTCATCCACCTGCAAAGGGGCACAGACTTGGGAGAGGTTCACTGTTGCATCCCAGGGGATGACCCTTGCTCCTGACATTGTCTCAGATCCTTGGTCTGAAATGCTCCCAGGTGCTGAACCCCAAACCCCACCGCAGGAGTTGCTGTCCCGTGGCCAGAAGATCAAAGTCCCCTGACAGGCCCCAGCCGAGGAAAGTTCAGAGCCCACGTGAGAGCTGCTGTGCTGGTGCTGGGAAGGTCGTGCAGGCAGAGCTGGGGTGAGGAAACAGAGAGCTGGCATGTGGGGCTGCTCTGAGGGTGCAGATGAACCCTGTTGCTTGCAGGAACGAGACCAAGTGCTGCTGAGTTCAGAGCCTCAAATCCAGGCGTGCCGGGCAGGGAGATGCAAATGATCCTCTCCTCTTTCTGGGATTCCTCTTTCTGGGAATAAATGAGAGAGAAGAGAGGCAGGATCCTGTGGCCACATCCCTGCTCTCCCTGAAAATCCCCCTCTTTGTGGCCAACAAGCAGAGGTGGTCAGGGGTGTGGTGCACCCACCAGGCTTCACCCTGGAGACCTTCACCCGGTCCAGCCATGGCATGGCCATCTCTTCCTTGCTGCAGATCCCCTCAGTCTGCAAAGCTCACAGGATGGACATCAGGAAGAATTTCTTCATGGAAAGGGTTGTCAGGCATTGGAAGTGGCTGTCCAGGGAGGTGGTGGAGTTCCCACCCTTGGAGGTGTCCAGTGAAGGACTGGACGTGGCACTCAGTGCTCTGGGTTGAGTGACAAGGTGGAGATCAGGCACAGGCTGGACTTGATGATCTTTTCCAATTTCAAATGATTCTATGATGGGCAGGAAGGCAGATTTCCCTCCTCTTCTCTAAATTTTGGCTCTGTCTGACCAGAAATCAGAGCAGGCTGAAAACACTGACCTTGGCCCAAAGCCACCGGAGGGAGCAGCGACTCTGACCTCCTCTCTGCACTTGAGGTTCCAGGTTGGGATTGTGGTGATACAATTACCCTGAACAACTTCCAGTGAAGGTTGGGAGGCCCTAATAATTACTGTTTACAAAACCTTCCTCCATTCCTGGATGAAAGGGTCGACAGGGGAGAGCAATTATTAATGTTACTTGTCCCACCTCTCCTCCATCCCAACACGCTTCCTCTAATTGTGCCTTGGTGCCTGCCTAATTTATTAAATGCCCACGTGGTGTGCCCCAAAACTCATTATCTGATGATTCAGAGTGAGCTAATAAAGAGCTGCAACTTCCTCTATAAAACATGATCCTGCAGTGCTCATCAAAGCTGTTCCAAAGGATCCCAGCAGCGTTTGCCCGGTGTCCGGGGGGATATCGTGCTCACCACTCCTCGTGGTTTTGGAACCTGGCACCTGCACATCTGCTGTATCCAGTGGATCCTGGCAGCTTCTGGGACCCAGAGAAGAAAAGTATCACCCTCGTGGGCACGGGGAGCATCCAGCTGTAGATTTGGGGCTGATTTCCTCTGCATCTTCCATATGAATGGCAAAGCTTCCTGGGATGCCCTTGGCAAAGGGCTTTGGGAAAGGCGATGTCCTTGCAAGGAGTGCTGCCCTGGTAGAGGTGACAGGGACAAGGATGCCAAGCTCGCTTCCCACAGCTGGGTGGCACAGACAGTTCTATTCCCCAAGCTGGAACACAAATAGCACAGAGGATTTGCCTGCTCTGGAGCAGACTGACCTCCGTCCTTTGCCGATTGCCCCCATGCCTGGGTTTTGCACAGACCCAGCCGGTCCCAGCCCTGGTTCAAGCACAGGCAGCCAAGCAGCAGATTTCACCTCAGACAGTCTCCACCTGGGGAGCACTGCCAGGACCATCCTTGCTCTCCCAGCCCACTCCATGCCAGGGCAGTGTTGGCACACGGGTGTGAGATCCCGGAGACAAACCGAGGCCAAGCCTGTCCTGCAGGCGAGACATGGCGGGGAGGGAAGAGGGAGCTGAGCAGGGACAGGATGCACCAGCCGAGCAGGAGGTCTAGGGTTGAAAATGTGGGCAAGAGGGCGAGAGCCAGGCTGCCTCCCTGTGCCAGAGCCAGCCACCCTGGGCCACTGCCTGCCATGCACGGCTCTCTCACCATCCCTGTGGGAGCGGGGCTTGGCATGGGGGGTGTAATCATCCCCTGCTCGCACCCCTACAAAGCTCCTTCACATCTTCAGAGCCACAGCAGCAAGCCAAGGCCTTGGGAGTGCTGGGGCCACAGTGAGAAAATTCTCTTTTCCTCCCAAAATAAAGGTCAGTGCTATTGTCATCTCCATTTTATGAGCCCTCAGCTTCCTCTGGAGAAAACACAGGGCACAGGCAAAGTAACATGACCACAGCCATGTGGATCAGCAGCGTCAGAGAGAGAAGCAAACCATCTGCCACCAAACCCACCTTCTTAAACCAGGCACACACCATCCCACCACAGGTGCCCCTCACCCAGGACTCGCAGCAGACAGCACAGCTCCTCCCCAGTTAGTTGCTGTACACAGCAAATCCAAGCCCAGAGCTCCCAGAGCAGCTTTGAACCCATCCCACTTTACATCCATGCAAAGCAGGCACCCGGTTTCCTGCCTCAGTTTCCCCACCGGGACAGTGAGGATGAGCAAAACACACGAGCAGAGGCACGAGGGAGTGAGGATTTAGCCTTTCACAGCAAAACCTGGTGAGAGGCTCTCGGGTGAGGATAAATGGGAATTCAGCTAAAATCGAGTGGCAGAGCCATAAATCCTCCCTTGGCACTTCCCAAAACACTTGTATGTGGCCAGGGCTGGGGAGGCCAAGGCAGCATCAGAGACAGCAGGGCTGGGGCTCCACACACAGCCTCGCTCCTCACCCCATCGCCTGCAGAAAAGGAAGAGGCAGCAATGTCATAACGCGCCATCCTCTGCTTAATTAAAGCTCTCCAGGTTGTCCTGTGGCACAAACCTAATTAAAAGGCAGCTTGGTGCTTTGAGAGCTCCAGACTGGACGTGTTTGACTGTGCGAGTGCCCATCACCATCCCGATCCCTTCCTTCCTGAAGGAGGAGTATCCCAGGGTCTCCCTGTGTCCCCTCACACTCCCCATGCTGGTGTCCTGCCCAGCTCAGCCTCGTGCCACTGCCAGCAGAGCCATCCTGGAAGAGCAGAGGGCTGAGAGCACCCATCTTCCCAACCCAGGGCACCTTCCAGGAACAGCCACAGAGATGGGAGCACTGACACCTTTCCAACCACAGGACAATGACATGCCAGCATCCTGATGACAAACTGCTCCCCCGGGACGAGGGGAGGCAGCCATCCCCATGGGGCTGCCCCAGGATGCTCAGCTAGGCTGCAGGCAGCTGCCTCCAGCCCCTTTTCCTGCCATATCTCATACACCACCACTGCTGCTCACTGCCACCAGCAATGCCACCTCCAGAAAGTCCAAATCCACAGGCACAGAGTGACCTTTGGTGCTCAGCCATTCCATGAAATCCCAGTGCAGCACAGATCCACTTTCCTATCACCTGTGGGACTCATCCTGGCCGTGCCAGGGCAGCAAACGCCCTGGGTACAAAGGCAGCTCCAGCTTGGGAATATCAGTGAGGTTGCTGTGTGACAAACCCAACTGGCACTGGCACGGCCATCTCGGCTCTGCTCCGCTCTTTACAGCCTGGGAGGGAGGAGGGATGTTGTGCAGCTGGAGCAGCACCCCAGGCTGGGCACTGAGACCAGGAGGGGTGTCAGCAGCCCCAAACACTGCCCCAGTGCTCTGCCTTGACCCCACAGTGTGGAGCTGACTCTGGATCCAACCAGAGCAGCAGCCTCTGGAACAGCCGGGTACGGGAACTGGGAGCTGCGAACTCCTGGCTGCTCTTAAGGAACCTTGTCAGCTCACACCCAGGTCTGGTTTTAAAGGGGATTAAAAGTCACTTTAGCTCCTGAGAGCACCTCAGAAGTATCTCAATACTCTCTGCCAAGCTTAAAGTCACTTTTAGCTGTTTTTTATAGTGTTTCTCTCAACACCAGCATGTGATTCTGTATGATAACTCCAGAGGCAGCAACCACCCCACACAACATGCCCTTGGACAGACAGACCCGTCATTTAATGGTTGGACTCGATGATCCTAGAGGTCTTTTCCAACCCTATGATCATTAAATCAGAGGTCTCCCCTTCTGGTGCTCCCTGCAATGGTGATAGCAAAGGGACACCAAACTTCTCAGCCAGAAACTGGATTCTGAAATTTGTGGAGCTCGTTAAAGGCAGGAAAGTTGGATTCACCCTCAGCAAACAATTTTTCCAAGTGTATATTATGCTATGGGCCACCACTGGAATCACAGGATCGTTATGGTTGGAAAAACATATAAGACCATCGAGCCCAAACACTAATCCAGCACTGCCATGTTCACACTAACTGTGTCCCCACGTGCCACATCTACACATTTTGTGGAGATGAAACCTCCCACAGTGACAGCAAAGGAATGGGACTGGGGACTCCTGCTTTCCACCCTCGGGCTGGCTGGAGCTGGAGGGGATCCTGGGCTTCCCCACATTGAATCCCAGCCTCCTACAGAGATGACATTGCCTTGCCTCTCACAAAACAAGCACCGACCATACCTTTGGGTTGTCCCCGGCCCTGCTGCCCAGACTCATCTCTCCTCTCCCCTCTCCAGGTCATCGCGGTGGTCATGGATATGTTCACTGATGTAGACATCTTCAAGGACCTCCTGGACGCAGGCTTCAAGAGGAAAGTGGGGGTCTACATCATTTTGGATGAGACCAACGTGAAGCACTTCCTGCAGATGTGCGAGCGAGCCCATATGCACACCGGGCACCTAAAGGTGAGGATGGTCCAAGGGGTCCGAGCTGGGAAACCTCTCCAATGCAGGGATGTAACCAGAGTTATCCACTCTGCTCCCTCCTGTCCTGGGGAATCACAGCCCCTGAACTTTGGGCAGTGCCAAATGAGTTTTGTCCATTTCCCCTGTAGCAAAAGCTGAAGGTGATGCCCTAATCTGGGAGCAGCAGGATGGAGGGGAACGGATGAGAGACAGGGACGTGGATTTCCACCCAGCAAAGCTCAGTGCAGAAATCCCAGGGGGCTGCTGGTACCCAGCCAGTGCTGGAACTGGGGCAGAGGGATGTCTGGGGAGATGGAGCCCTGCAAGAGCGGGCACAGGTCACACAGGGCACTGCAAAGCTCACGGCAAACCTGCGAGCTCAGCATGTCCTGGTGGGTTGAGGGAACAAGCTGGCAAGAGGGAAGGAGCAGCAGATGCCATGCCAGGGCCGGATCTGTGCCATTGCCAGCCCTATTCCTGCTGCTGCCCCAGGGGCAGGACCGGCAGGAGCAACCGCCGGCCGGTTCTCTCGCTTTCGGGCTTTCCCGCAAGCCAGAGGCTGGAATTAAAAAACTTGATTTTCCCCTTTTCCGGAGCCTCCGCCCCAGCACAGGGCCGGGAGCAGAGCAGGGAGGCACCCACGCTGCCTGCGGCCCTGGCAGCTGCCAAGGATGCCCTCACTGCTCCCGTCCGTGCAGGGCAGCACACACTGGTGGGACTGATCTGCCCACACACACCGTGCTCACCAGCCCTGGAGTGCTGGGGGATGCACATGGAATAGCTCCTGTGCACAAATCCTGTGTAAAACCAGGGATGACAAAGCAGAAGGAGGGATGTCTGGCAGCACAGGTGTCGGTCCCCAGCCCAAAGTGCCCCAAACCCAAGGGGCCGGGTTGGATGTGGCTTGGGGCAATTTGGTGTAGTAGAAAGTGTCCCTGCCCACAGCAGGGAGTTGGAATGAGATGAGCTTTAAGGTCTCTTCCAACCCAAACAGTTATGGGATTCTAGGATTCTCCTTACACCTCCCTGTGTGTGCAGGGGTTGCAGAGAAAAATCACCTATCAGGGTGTTCTCGTGCAAAGGCAGAGGAAGATGAAGGGGCAGAGGAGAGGATGGGGGGAGTGTATCAGCCTCAGGAGCAGCACCCGGAGTGGGGACCCTCACTCCAGCTACAGGACAAAGCCCCAGGTTCCAGCCACAGGACACAGAGTTCCAGGCTTTCCTCTGGGCACAGCACTCCCCTTGCCAGCACCAGATGCAAACACAGCGGAGCAGCCCAGCAGTGTCACTCGGGGCCTGCAGACACCCCTCTCCAGCCGTGAGTCGCTCAGCCTCGCCCGTTGCTTGGCAGAAAAGTGATGTTTCTGCTCCTGACGTCACCGGGCCACGCACCGGCTGCCAAATGGCTGCTGGGAAGGCCCGTGCCCGGGCAGGCTCCCCAGATTTGCTTACGGTGAGGGCGAACCCACAGCTGAGCAGGAACACGTCGGAGCCACGACACCCTCGCACCTGGCTGGAATGAGGTGGGACATGCTGGGGCTCAGGGACCCCCACGCAGGGAGCCGAGAGCACCGGCCGGCCAAGCCTCACCATGCCCGCCAGCCCAGCTTAATTGCTGCTCCCAACAATTAAAGCAAACTCAGCCGAGCTTTTACCTGCGTCCAAACTCCCTGGAGAGTCTGGGATCCCGCAGGCTGCTGCCGCTCCGAGACCAGAAAAGCCAGCGCTGACGCACTCCGGTGTTTTCCTACATTAGCAGCCCGGTGGCAGGACTGGAAAAGCAGGAGAACATCTGCAGAGCTCGGCAAATGTCTGGAAGTTGGGATTTGCCGCACACTGCAGCCGGTTTGCTGGCACGGGAGGCAGCAGGGCAAGGAGGTGGCGAGGAAAGTAGGGCAGAGTCTGGGAGCTGCTTCCTAAGCCCGGAGATGATAACGAAACATCCCTCGTTATCTCGGTGCCTTTGCTTGGCAATTAGTAACTGGCTTGGGCAAGGAGGTCGCTCCGTTGAGCAAGGGCGAGTGCCTGGGGAGTGATTCACCCAGCCCGGCGCGCTCGGCACCCGGCCATCCCGCCGGGCACCCGCCTTGGCACAGGCCAGACAAGCAGAGATACACCAGGAGCTGAGAGGAAAGGGGACTGGCACCAGGGAGGGTTGATCCCTGGGTGTTATCCGAGAAAAGCCCACGGCTACTCCCTGAGTTTGGGCACAGGGGCAGCTCCAAGAGGGAGGGATCGACACCCAGGCTGGCGATGGGCAGAGAGCAAAGCCTTGGGTGTAAAGTTTGTGCACCCTGGGCACTACCAGTCTCAGCAGCACCATGTGTAGGGATAACACAGGACAGGGATGAGAATTCCTACCCCAGCCTGCTTTCCAGCCAGCCCCCAAGCACCACCAGTGCTGCTGCACACCCACAGAAACTGGGATGTCCCCCCAGACACACCAGGCAAAAAGGCAAACGTTAAGAAAAAAAACAAATACAACAAAAACCCCCATAAACTTCTCTGCTCAGTACGTGAATCTTCCCTGGAAACACCCTCAGAAAAGCCTTTCTTTTCATATCATGCTAAAATCAATGCTGAGTCATTGTCCCTCCTGCCAGACACGGGGGAGTGGGGACCAGGGGGGCCCCTGGGCTATTCCTGATTGTGGTCTACAGGGAGAGAAGAGAGTCCAGAGAAGCAGATGAGAAAGGCTGGAGGAGGGGAAAACCAATATTTTTGATGCTTTTCTTTAAAAAAAAACAAAACAAAACAAAACGCACACAAAAACAGCCACGGAGGGCATGACCCAGTGATAACACTGAGCCTTTAGCAATGGCATGACCAACATCCTGGCAGGAACAGGAGGAATGCAGATGCTTTCACAAGAAAATATTTGCTCCCCACCCAAGGGAGCCCTTTTGCTGTGGAAGATGCTATCTGGTGACTTTGGAATGTGCCAGTGCCCTCCACAGAGACACTGGAGCCAGAAGCCAGACTAGAGATAGAAAAGTATTTTGGCAGAGCCAGGGCTGCCCCTCCATCCCTGGGCTCCCTTGGGGAGGACACCCCATCCCTCCACAGGGACCTGCTCCCTCATCACCGGTTTTCACTTCCTGGGGGCGAAAAGATGTTGCCCCACTGCCTTTTTTCCCCCCTCCACTCACCCCTAAAACCAGGCAGGACTAAACACTCAGATTTTAGGAGCACAGAAAAGGGGGAGTGTGGTGGAAAGCAAACCCACTGCCACCAGATCCACGTGTGCTGTCCTGGGGTCACCAGCTCCCCCTAAAGCCCTTGTACATCTCCCGCTGGGGAGGAGGAGTGGGATCTCCTCTCCCAGGGTGGCATTCCCATAGATCACAGGGGATGGAGAGTGCTTGGCAGCACCATCGCACACTGCTCACCCACGGACACAGGCAGCACGGAGTTCAAGAGGTGGAAAACAGGGCCCAGCACGTGGGCAAAGCAGGAAATTCTCCAGGCTGAGTGCAGAGTTCACCCCGTGGCCTTGGGCGAGTTATTTTATCTCTCCATCGCTGTGGCCTCCTCTGAGCCGGCCACGAAGAGCATTCTGTTCCTCGAAGGGGCTGTGGAGCATCCAGGGGGACGTTGATGGAGGGGCGGATGATGCTCTCAGAGCAGCCCTTTGCTCCTGCTCACGCCTCTGCCTTTGCTCTGCAGAACCTGCGCGTCCGCAGCACCGGGGGGACGGAGTTCTTCACGCGCTCGGCCACCAAGTTCAAGGGGGCTTTGGCCCAGAAGTTCATGTTCGTGGACGGGGATCGAGCCATGTGTGGATCCTACAGGTAATCAGCACTCTCCTCCTGCCCTTTTGCCTCCCCCCATGGAGGTGTTGGTCAGAGGATCGTCACAAACCCACGTGGCCTAAATCCTGGTCCCCGCCCAGCATGGCCCCAGGACCCCCTCCCAGACTTGCTTCCCTGCTCCTAAACTGCTCCTAAACTTTGCAAGGAGATTTGGAATGGACCCCAAGGAGTCCCCACCACCTCCTGAAACCAACAGGTCGAGGACACCTGCCATTCTCAGAGGTGGTGTGACACACCAGTTTTTTCTGCCACTTGATGCAATAAGCACAAGGAAGGACCAAAGCACCAAACCACACCACAGCCAGTCCCAACTCTCACACTAACCTCAGCTTTTCCAGCTAAACATTTCCTATACAAAGTATTTTCCAGGTTGTCCAAATGAAAACTTACTTTGGTAGAAACAGATCACCCCCAGTCAGCTTCTGAGCTCTAAAAGATAAGTTTTATAAACATGGAGCTGAAACATTTCCCACTTTCTGGCCACAACAAATAACACATCCATTTGTGAGTTGCTTTTCTTAACTAACCCAAGCTGAGAAAGGAAAAGCAGCCAACACTAAAGTGAAAAACTAACTGACCCACTGCAAAGACCTTTTATTTCAAGTCCACTGTGCTCAAGACTTCAGCCCTTCACTCTAATTTGTGATGAGAGCTATTTCATCAATCCTATTATTATTATTATTAATGTTTACAATGAGATCATGTACCTGCTGGCACCATCAATCCCCCAGGGAATGCCAGGGTTGGGGAGAGGAGTGTTATTTACCAGCGAGTGCTCAGAGAGTTTCCAACGTGTTTCTGTTCCAGCTTCACCTGGTCTGCGGCGAGGACGGACCGAAACGTCATCACAGTCCTCTCGGGCCAAGTGGTGGAGGCGTTTGACAAGCAGTTCCAGGAGCTCTACCTCATGTCCAAGGGGGTGAGCCTCAAGTCCATCTCCATGGGTGAAGAGCCCGAACCTGAGCCCGTAACGCTGCCCTCGGTCGTGCCGGTGACCCCCGCCAACGCCGTGGTGAAGAAGCTGATAAACCCTAAATACGCCCTGGTGAAGGCCAAGAGCGCTGACCAGATCAGCAAGACTTCGTCTGAGAACCAGGACAAGAACCAGAAGGCAGACAACAAAGGCAAAGCTGTGCCCGAGGGCCCGGGGGGCGACCGGCATGGGGACATGGCAGACCTCTCCCTGCTCATCCACCCCGGCCTCCTGAATCTGGAGAAAGCCAACATGTTTGACTATCTGCCCACCTGGGTGGAGCCTGACCCCGAGCCCGGGAGCGAAGTCTTGGGCTACATCAACATCATTGACCCCAAGATCAAGAACGTGAAGCTCTCGCAGATGAACCGCATCAAAGTGTGCGACGTCTCCCAGGCCAGCGCCCAGCACCGGCAGATGCTGAAGAACAGGGAGATGGAGGCCAAGAAAAACTCAGACCAAGAGCCACCTCTGCTGTCCCCCTGCCAGAGACAGATCCCACAGCCTCCCATGGAAGCCCCTACAGCGCCCACTACCAGCCACATGGAAGGCATCAGCTGGACAACGAAGCAAGCAGGAACATTTGCCTCTTCACCCTTGGGCCACCACTTGAAGCCACAGGAGGAGACACTGGAGACCATCAAACCACCAGTTCCAAAGCCAAGGACCGTCCCCGTTGGTGTCCTCGTGACCAAAGTCATTACAACCTGTGACAGCAGCACTGCCCTGGAGGGTGACACGCAACCACCGCTGGCCGACCATAAGGGTGTGAAGCAGGAGCGGGAGGAGAAACCCAACGGAGCTTCCATGGAGACCTGCCACCTCCAGCCAGACCGGCCCGTGGCAGGGCCACAAGAGGACAAAGGGCCTCCCTGCTCCCACAACGGGCTGGGAGAAGAGGAGGAGGAGGAGGAAGAGGAGTATATCACTCTCAGTGACCAGGAGAGCTACTCCAGCAGCTCTGCTGACCACAGCTACCGCCGCTCCAACGCCTCCTCCATCTCGGACGAGTACTTCGAGGTGAGGGATCGCTACGGGCCGCTCCGGAGAACCAACTCGGACGTCACCCACAATGGGGAGATCCTTCCCATGCAGAGGAAGCTCAGTGACCCCCACATCAGCCGAGGCACCTTCCTCAGCCCCCTGGGCAGCCTCCCATCCCTGAAGCACGTCCGCGTGGAGGACGTGACGAAGAGGAGGAGCAACGCCGTGGAGATCAGGCGTGTGCTGCCCCGCACCATCCTGGATGGCAACAGCTCCTACCCCAGCAGTGCCACCCAGGTAGGACTTTTTGCGATGACCTTATGTTTCTCCACCCTACAGAGGTTGCAAACCCAGAGGTGACCCAGCCAGCTCAGCCGAGGCGTGGTGTCATCCCGAGCTTTGGTGTCAGGTCCCAGATGCCGAGATAAGACTTCCCATATAGAATAACACCCTACACGTGGCGATGGTAGGAGTTACCCAAGAGGTTCTCCTGGTTGGGAAGGTGGTGGCCGTGCCACAGGTCTTGGTGTCTAGCAATGGGAACAGCTGGTAAAGGGGAGGCTTTTGGGAATTAAAGATTATCCCACAGCATTGGGCTGGGGATGGAGCTGAGTGGCTCTGGGCACAGCTGTACAGATGTGCCTGGACTCGCTGAGCCCCATCCACAGCCCATCCCCAGCGGCACCATGCCCAGCCAGGGACAGACTGTGCGTGCAGGCGTGTCCTTCTCAGGCTTGTTTTCCAGCACCTTGCCAGGGCGATTAGCATCAAAGGAGAAGCGCTCGGACACATAATTAGGCAGAGCAAGACAGCGGAGAAACAGGGACGGCAACCTCTGTGGGCGAGTGCCACAGTCAGCAGCTTTGTGGCTGATCCAGCGGTGACGCCAGACCCTGTCACCGCACGGGTGCTGCAATTCCATGGGGTGCATGCCCAGATCCCGCTGCTGGAGCACGGGGTGCACGGCAGCATTCCCACCAGGGCCGGAGCATCACCCTCTCCAGGCAGGGGGATCACAGGGGCAATCCCCTGTTTCCACCCAAGTGCTGCAGCCTCTTGCACCACTGCCAAGCATTTTGGTTTCTCAAGGCTCCCCGCCCGCTGTTTTTGGGGCATTCAAACCCCCAGGGCTAAATCAGCAGCTGAAGTCACTGAAACTGCCTGAGGGTACCCTGGCTGAGCATCTAATCTGTATTTACAGGGAATTAAATTTACTATCCCAGAGTCCACTTGCTTCTCCCTTCCCAGCCAGTGACAGGGAGCTCAGAGCTTTAATCCTCACACATCAAATACCCCCTGGTCCTGCAGGGCAAGGAGCACAGAGCCCTTTGATGCTGTGACCCAGGTCCCAGGTGCCACCCAGCTCGGGGTGGCCGGGTACGCTGGTGTTCCTGCAGTAACTTGTTCTGGCCCTTTGATGAGAGGCAGATAATTAACACAGCATCAGGGTTAGGAAAGGCAGCGCTCAGCTGGTGGAGATGTGCAGGGAAGAGTTTCTCCCATATGTAAAAACAATAAACCAAAGCAACCCTTGACTAACTGTAGAAAACCTGAATCCAACAGGAATCACCATCAACCCCCACAAGCACCTTTTTCTGGGGTCCACATTTCTCATGTGCTGGCCCATGGCCCAGCATAGCCCAAAACACAGGTGGGGGCTCACTCAGGGCAAACACCATGTTTTCCATTCCATGGAGAACGTGGCACCCAAGTTCTCCCTGGAACATCACCTTCCCTAAATACACAACCCCATTCACACCTGGATGCACAGCAGGCTCAAGGAGGGCACTGGGGACACCTGTGTCTTCTCCTGCCCCTCTCCCACCCGCAGAGCCCCCAGGTCTGTGCAGAGCAGAGGTTTCCAGACAAGCCCCCTCCCACTCATCCCTTAGTGACAGGGAAAATCCACATCCCACAGGCTCCACAGCTGCGTGGGGGGCCCTTACCTGGGTACAGGACCCTGCTGATCATCCCTGGCATGATGATGACAAAGAGGGGCAGCATCTTCAGGTAGCTGGCCAGGATGGAGCCGGCCTTGGCGTGACTGAGGCTCTTCGCAGAGAGCGAGCGCTGGACGATGACCTGTGGAGGGCCAGGCGGGAGGGATGAGCAGCACCAACACCACAGCAGCCTCCTCCTTACCAAAGTGCATCCCAAATGTTGGAGCCACTGGGCACAGGGCCCAAGCACAGTTCCCAAAAGCAGCATAGATGTGTTCCCAGCCCACAGCGAGGTTTCTCTCCAGACCACTAACGGGCTGGTGTTAAACCACAGCAGCACGTCCCTCCTGACAGTATCAACCATTCCCCACCACTATTCTCCCCACTCTTGCCCCTTCAATTCAATCTTCTCCCCAAAGAGTGCCCACAGTGACAAGGAAACCGAGTCCAGCCTCCTCCTCCCACAACTCCGCTGCTCAGACCATCACACCTCAAAGCTCTGGCCAAGCTGTATCCATCCACAACACAGCCAGCCCTGGGGTTTTGAGGCAATCCCTCTTAAATAGTCAACATCTGTAGGAATTGCTGATTTAAAAGAGCTCAGGGTCTCCACAAAGGCTTATAGAGAATGCTCAGCACCCAGCAGGATTCAGCCACTCCTGAGCAAGAACTGGCTCGTTCCCCCAATGGATAGGAGGGATGGGGTGCCAAATCCTAGGGTGGAATGCTTGGGGAAGCCATAGTTTAACTTCTTTCCAAGAGCCAGAGCATGTCAGGAGCTGCAGGACCCACCACCCAAGCTCAGGCACTATGTGCACCACATCAGGTACATAATGAGCTCAGAGGGAGAGGAGCTAAATCACCCTTAGTCCTTCCCACCTGAAGCCATCTCAGACCTTACCACTGATTTTAAGCATCTAACAAAATCGATCCAGAACCACCTAAGGTAAACTGCTTTAACACAGCCCTCATGGTCAGCACAGGAGGTGCCTGCTCCAGGACCAAAGAGGCCTTTGGGATATTGGGACTAACTGGCTGAACCCCGAGCTGATGCCAACAGCTCGGTGGAGATGTGGCACTGGCAGCATGGCAAGGGTCATGGCAGAGGCTGGGCAGGTTGGCACAGCCAGCTCTGCAGCCTCCTGGCCCCAGCTCATCCTGCCATCAGCACCTGCACTCACCAGATCCCATCTCACCTGGTGCATCTGCAGTCACACCCAAAGAGGAGATCACTATCTGGTGACCACAGCCATGTGTTACAGCCTTACCCAGTCCAGAATTAAGATTAGTGGTGCTCAGACCTGATCCAAACATGTGTCTCAACCCAGCTAATCAGAGCCACCCCCGCAGTGCTGTTGCAGCTCACTGTTCTCTCCTCATCCCACCTCCTCCCCCAGCCCTCCATCCTTTCATCTGATCTTGGCAGTCACCTAATCCCACAGCTCAGGTCTGGATGACTGGATGCTCTTTGTGCCTGATACGAGGGCTTAGATGATTAAGACGAGTGTTGAGGCTGCTGCTGGAGAGAAGGTGTTGAGATGCCTTATCCTGGATCTCCAGGCAGCAGGGACTTGGCTCGGGACAGCCTCCAGGCTGCTTGGGAAGTGGCTGCTGAAGCACTGCATGTGCAGGACTGTGTGTTATCACAGTAAGAAATCAGAGCAGCAGCCACAGTTAAGACTTGAGGTAGTTTTGAGCTGCCACCGGTCTCAGAAGAATTTGGGCAAGGGGCTACACCAAGTGCCAGAGGGATTTGTCCATGAGGACCAAGCCCATGTCACAGAGGTGTCCTTGCAGGGAGCAGCATCCTCACGACAGCCACAGCTCACCTCTTTCTCTGCTCTGTCACGAACAGGGGACGCACATCTATCGCTACCGACCCAGGACCCCCGCGGGCAGAGAGCAGGGCAAGGAGGTCTCCTGCTCCCCGACGCACGAGAAACCCCTCGGGGCCACCAAGTACAGAGGGGATGGAGCAGAACCCAAAAAGACCATTGCAGGCAGCCAGCCCTACTGGCAGAGCAAAGCCTTCAGCCCCAGCAAGCCCACGGCGCCCGGCCACCTCTCCCCGAGCAACCCCAGAGCGTCGGGCAAACGCTTCACCTCCCTGCCCGAGAGCCAGAAGCCAGCTGAGGAGATGAGGACGCCCCTCGGCATCCCGCTCTCCAAACTGTCCCAGTCCAAGCACCTCAAGAACAGGGTTGCGGGAGCCCCGGGTGCTTCCGTGGACTCCAAAAAGCAGCCCCCCGAGAGCACGGGCCAGAAGGAGCACTAGGGGCTTCATGGTGGTCCCCGCGGGGCGAGAGCGGTGGTAGAGCGTTGCCTGGAGCCCAGGCCACGCCGCGTTACACGGGGCAGGGGGTTCTTGTTTACATTTACCTGGTCGGTGCACCAGTACCACGTGGCCATGATGGACAGCCCAAAAGTCATCCCGGTCCAGGGCAGGTCTCCGGAGACCGGGTCTCGGAAGAGGTGCATGGCATCCGCTCTGGGCAGGTGGCAGGTAGTGTTGGGAACGATCTTGGACGGCACCGCTTTTCCATAGGCCTCTTCCAGGTTGGGGTAACCTCCGATCTCATTAAAAGCTGGAAAGCACCATTGGGGCAGGTGGTCAGAGTGCAGTAAAACCCAGTGGTCTGTGAGATCAGCTGGCAGAGCACTCACCAGCTCATTAACCCAGAAGCGCTGCCCAGAGAGGGAGGGCTCATCCGTGATCGTGTTTTCTTCTAGTTATTTAAGAGACTCTTCTATTACCATTTTGCACAGCAGGTCCCATTGCAGTCCACTCTCCCTTTGGAGGGTGACCCGAGTCCTGGGACAAAGGCTCCTCAAGGGACCCACCTCTTTTAACCTTGTACTGTAAAAGCAACCTGTTCATTAAAGCTCCCTGGTCCCAGGGCAGGGGAACCTTGCCCAGGACTATTGAAATGCAAGATTAGGTGGCCTTCCACTCGATAAACTGCAGCTCAAGGTGCCTTGGCACAAGTGTCCAGCCAAACATTTTGTACTCCCCTGAGCATTTCCCCAGCATCCCCCATGTGCCCCCACCCCCAAACCTCCAGAAACCAGTAAAAAAAAAAAAGAAAAAGAAAAAAAAGACCCTTTTCACTGGATTTTTCCTAGGAAATGGGATCCAAGGTCTGAGCCTTGATGAGGAGTATGTGCCATGAACAAGCCCTAGCAAGTGAGCCTCCAAGCCCTTGGCAGATGCCCCGTGCTCCTCCTGCCTGCAGCCGCTGCCAACCAGCCCTGGGCTCTGCCCTGGCCCCCCCCCCCACCTCCCTGCTCCTGGGGGGCACAGAATGAATGCAGCTCCCCCAGGACCTCCAGTGGGAGAATTTTGGAGCCAGAGGCATCACTTTTTGGAGGAGGGTGGGAGGGGAGGCACTCGCCCCGCTCCCCCCACACACCATGGCCACCCACACAGCAGCCTGGGGGAGACGGGCAGGGAGAGGCACTGGCACCCCCATACCCACGGCAGCTGCTGGTGCTCGGGAGCAGAGAGGAGGCTCCAGAGGTTTCATGGAGGGGAGGAGACTCCAAGCAAGACCCACGAGCATCCCTCACTGGGTTTCTCCAAATCTGGTCCAGCTGTCACATCCTGTATCCCTTCTGCCCCTGCAGTTCAGACCCTCAGCTTGGGCCCCTCCAGTGCAGCAGCAGGAGGTGGGAATGTGCTCCTGAGCAGTTTCCCTCCCACAGGACCATGTCCACAAGCCCTGCTGTCTTTAGACCAAATCCCTCAGGCATCAGATGCTGGGCACTAGGATCACCATCAAATGCCAGCTTGAACAAATCCCAGTTTCCAAGCCACCCATCCTGCTCCATTGTCCCCTCCTGCCAGAGGACAGCCCTCCCCCTCCAGTCCTCCCATTTCCATGACCAACCTACAGCCCCGTCCTCATCCCAGGGCAGCCCCCTGACCTGAGGCTTTTGGGGAGCTGGCAAAGGGGCATCACCCACCGTGTCCCCCCCCTTGCAATCCGTCCTCCCGAGTTTCACAGGGAGTCAGCATTTGTGAACTCCTCCTGCTCTTGCACAAGCAGCCCTGGCCCCCCTCCAGCGCTTGGTTTATCCAGGCGCCGGCTACTCCCAAGCTTTGCATGGGCGTTGGGCACCAACAAAGGCTCTCCAGAGGCAGAGGCCGAGTACTGAAAGCAGAGATTGGTGCCTGGGGGTAAGAGCCTGCTCCCTTCCCAAAGGTGCTCACCAGCAAGTCACAGCACCCACGCCTACCAAGAAGGAAGAGTGGAGGAAAATCCTCCAGGCAGCGGGAGCTCAGCCTGCAGATGCCAGGATGCAGCCCATGGGCTCTGCTGGGATTAACATTCCCGTGCTGAATGGCAGGATGGCACAGTCTACCAGAGCTAAGCAGAGCCACCAATGGCACTGCCAAGGTTTCTGTTCAGCAAAGTGAAAAAATTCTTCCCTGTGAGGGTAGGGAGGCCCTGGCACAGGTTGCCCAGAGAAGCTGTGGCTGCCCCATCCCTGGAAGTGTCCAGGGCCAGGTTGGATGGGGTTTGGAGCAACCTGGTCTAGTGGAAGGTGTTCCTGCCCATGACAGGGGATGGAATAAGATGAGCTTTAAGGTCCTTTCCAGCCCAAACCATTCCATGACTCTATTGAAAGTGTCCTTTATTAGCTGAGCTTTACGAGAGCTGGAGAAAACCAAACACCTTTGGGGCACACCCACCTCCGGGTCCTGAGGTCTCCTGAGACCTGAGGAAAAACCTGTGCAACCAGCAGCTTCATCTTCTGGTTCCCCTGGCTCAGTCCCTCTGCCAAGCCCCCTCACCCCCCTGCACACACCGTGCCACACTTGCAGGCAGCAAAGCCAAAACAAGCCGGGCTCTGCCGCTGCCGGAGGGGATTTTCCAGGCTTTGCCTACCTGCCCTCCTCCTCTGGCTCTGTGCAGCTGCACCAGCCAAGCCTGGCAGAGACAAGCCTTAGAGAGCCCCACGGCCAAGGACAGTTCCAGACAACGATCCACAACATCCAGGCACCACATCTAAGGCACAGGCTGCAGCCACTGCTCTGTTCTGCCTCGACAGGCAACGAGCTCCTCTGCCCGGAGCAGCTCCGTGCCGCTGCTGGGGTACTTAATTGTTGTTGTCCCTTCTCCAGGAAGTCTCAGTCCTTTCATTTGTTTCTTGTAAATACACCTTGCTGTGTCCAAGGGCTCGCCCAGGAGCGAGCTCTGCTCTGGCACAGGGGAGCAGCCACGGGACTGGGTTGGTCACAGCTCTGGGCCTGCTCCCACCTCCACAGCTCTGGGTCAGAGCCTTTCCTACCTGCCTGCCTAAGCTGCCTTCTCCAGGAGATGGTGGAAATCATCTCAGGAGTGCCTTTGGAAATCATCCTCTGTAGTTAAACACCTGCCTTTGAAGCTGGGACTTAACTTTTTGCTTCCTGCTCCTTGGGGCCAAGAGCCCCGATGGCAGAGCCAGGCTGATGAAAGCTCCCGTCCTCACAAGGATGCTCTGAGGCTGAATTTAGGGAGACACAACAGTGCTGGGGGTTCAGGAAGGGCTGGTGATGAACTATAATCACTCCAACCCGGAGCAGGGCATGGCACCACGCTCCACATCCCACCCCTGCAGCCGTGCCTTGTTCCAGTACCAACCTTCTGCTGTGCACATCCCCAGGCAGCAGGATCCTGTCTGAAGACCCCACCAAAACACCCGGAGCAGAACTGGGAATGCTGCTTCGCTGTCAAATACTTGAGCAGTCTCTCAGAGTGAGAGGCAAATGTGGAGCAATCATGTCCACAGGAATGTCACCACTGCTGGGGACAGTCCCACGTGGAGCACCAGGGAGATGCTCCACGGCATCTGCACCTGCAGGAATGGCACACAGGGGAAGCAGGGGGGACACAGGGGCACCACACTGAGGTGATTGCCACGGACCGAAGTCCTGCTGGGCATCTTGGCCAACGAATGGCTCAGACTGAGTGCTTTTATTTACCTCCACGACCACCTGAGTGAGGAGGGAAGGTCCCCCTGGAGCAGCTCTTACCTCTCACCGCCAGCACGACGGCTCCCAGGACCATGATGAGCGTCTGCAGCGCGTCGGTGTAGATGACGGCCGCCAGCCCCCCTGTGAGAGCAAGGCAGGAGGTTGGGAATACTGCTGGATTCCAGCTTGGAACAGTCAGAATGTCCCAATAAAGCTTCCCATGGGGATGTACCTGTCACCAGCCTCAACCTGCTGACACTGGGGGGGAGGGACTGCAGCGGGAAGAGGGAACAGCTCCTCAGTGGCTCTGGTGTTGAGGGGAGCACAGCACCCCCAAAGGTGAGGTGGGGGGAGCAGCCAAAAGCCACAGGGGCTGCAGCCTCACCGGGGGCAGGGAGGGGATCCAAGGGATTGCTGGGCAGGCAGGGAAGGCAGGAGGGATGGCAGGAGGGGTGCAGCCCCACATCTCCACACAATCAGGAGGATGCCAGCCAGCCCCAGCTCTTTGGGTGTTCCAGCAGCAGATCAGACTCAGGACATTGATCTCATCATTCACCAACCTCTGCCTAACACCAGGTTTCCCCTTTGTACACCCTCAGTTCTCCTCCAAACCCTGCAGTTTTATTTTTCCAGCACATGGTGCTTAGTGGGGTCCCCTTGGCCATACAGCCAGCAGCATTTCTCCCTCCCCATCCCAAGCTCTCCCTCCAGACCTGCTGCAAACCCAGCACCTGCTTACCCAGCCAGAAATCAATCACTCAGCACATCAGCAAAAGCATTAAAAAGTAGCAGAGCTAAGGAAAATGGGTCAAAAATTGAATGAGTTTCAACCCCAGTCACTGAATCACATCCTGGGAATTCAGGGCTGCACCATCCCTGGCCTTGCCTGGGATTTGGAGGGATGTTCTCAGGATCAAGGTGATGCAATGATCACACCTGCCTGAGCTCACACTGAGGTGCCTCACATCATAACAAGCCTTGTGGGCAGGAAAAACCCGAGATGGGATTTGCTTAAAACCAAAGTCTTGCAAAATCCACCCTGTTATGGATACACTTAAACTGTTTCCCCTTTTGATGGCCGGGGTGAGATAACGAGGGAATTTACTGCCGAGTGTCTCCACTGCCACTACCAGGGGAGGGAATGTCCCAGCAAACATAATAACCCAAAGGGCTGGCAGGGATACACAGTCCCACGGTCTGAGCGGGGCTGGGAGCCAGGAACCCACGATTTCCAGCTCCAGCTCCAAACCCTCATCACCTCTGGATCACAGAAGAAACATTCTTTGTTGACCCTGCACAAAAATAGCTGGTGCCACAACGGGGAAGCACGGGCAAGAAATATTCCTGAAAGCTTAGTGGAGAGAGGGCAGCAGGTTGCACTGAGGGCAGGGCAAGAGGGAGGGAAAGGAGTTGGGTCAAGGGCTCTCCGGTTGTAGATTCCATAATAATAGTCCTGTAATGGGAGAAGCCCTGATTATTGCTGTTACAAATAGGTACACACACAAGAAAGTGCTTAAGTACACGGTGGGGGAGGAGTTATTACAAATGAAAAGATGTAAAGACAAAGGAGAGGTCATGGGCTGAGTCATCACCTGAGCTGACTCTCCAGGAGGCTGCTCAGATGCTGGCTGGGGCAGGGATGTGAACCCCACTGGTATAAACCCCAGGGAACCTTCCAAAAATAACAATAATAAAATAAAAGCAGGAGGGTAAGTGGTGTGGTTCAATAAAAGAAGCAGAAAAATAGAGGCCAGTGGATGATGAGTGACCTACCTGCAATGGTGTAGAGCCCAGTGACCACCAGCATGAGCACAGTGGAGAGGTAGAGGTCCCAGCCCAGGCAGACTTGCACAAAGAGGGCCCCCGAATACAGGTCTGTCTGTGAGTGGAAGAAGGAACAGGAGGTCTGGGACAGATGACATCCACCACCCAAGGGCTGTTGCAAGAGCAGCACAGCAGGGAAACAGCCAACTCTGTGGGTTCAGGGAGGACACAGAACCCTGGAATGGTGTGGGTTGGAAGGGACATTAAAGTCTATCTCATTCCAATCCCCTGCCATGGGCAGGGACACCTTCCCCATCCCATCCAACCTGGCCTTGGACACTTCCAGGGATGGGGCAGCCACAGCTTCTCTGGGAAAACTGAGGCCAGGAGGGCCTCCCCACCCTCCCAGGGAAGAATTTCTCCCTAATATCCAACCACTCCTCTTAATTTAAAACCATTCCCCTTGGTCCTATCACTATCTGCCCACATAAAAAGTCACTCTCCCTCTTTTTTATAAGCCCCTCTAAGTACTGGAAGACCACAATGAGGTGCCCATGGAGCCTTCTCTGACATCACACGGCACATTCCAGGAGGACACTCCTGAAGCCGAGGGTCCCAGGTGGGTGGCCCTGTCACAGCTGCAGATGGGTGTCACAGCCCCAGAGGAGCAGAGCAGGCAGCTCCAGCTGTCATTGTACACACGTGGGGGTTGTCATGGTTTGGAGGAAATGAGATTAAAGTGGAGACTTGGAGCTGGGGCAGCTCCTCCAACAAAAGCAGCGATGCCGTGGCAGGACCAGGCACAGTGGCAGTGGCAGTGCCACCACCACGCCTCCACCCAGAGCTGAGCTCAGCCATCCCCACGCTCAGCTGGGCCATCTTCACAAAAACCTTGTTTGGAGAAGGGAATGAGGCCAGAAGGGGCAGGAAGAGGCAAGACAAGCCGACTCCACACCCTCGCCCGGGGCCGCGATGGGTTCCCACAGCCAAGATATCAGCTCTGATTTGACATCTCTCTTCACACACCTCCCAAAAACCATCCCCCAGCAGCAGGGCTGTCTTGCCCAATCATGCAGGAGCAGTCTCTTGGGATTAGTAAGGTGTAGGACTGGTGTTATTTCCCATATCACACCTCCTTGTCCCAACTCTGCCCTCCCTCCTCCCAGCACTGCTCCGGGATGCTCCCACACAGGAGCTGAGGACCATCCTCCAGTGATGGAGAGGGGCTATGCTGGATCATGCCATGCAAAAGCCAAGGCATGTGTTGGCTCCATCAGCCCAAAACCCAGTAGGTGAGCCCATGTCCAGCTTCAGCACAGCACAAAAGCCATTCCCCAGCAGGTGAGCCCACAGCATTGGGCATAACCTTGGTTAAATCAAGTCAAACCAACCAGAAGGGCACTTACACCACCATCTTGAGGATCCTAACTCAGGGACTCTTCCATGACATCTGAACTAGCCTTTACACCACAGTCATGCCTGGCATTCCCAAGGGAGGTACTACGTGTCCTCAGCTGCACCTGGGATTGGCCACGTGTCTGGGAGAGTCCTTGTGAGCACCAAGAGGGAATTCAGCCCTGCAATGACCTCTTGAAGAGGAACCAACTAATGGGCAACCATGCCATAACCTCTACCAGTGGCTCCTTGATGCCTTTCCTCCACAAATGCAATCCAACCACAGCTTGATACCACCAAGAACCCTACAAAAGGACACCTAAACCATTCACACGGCGCAAGCTTCAGCGACATGAGGCAGAAAAGCCTCAACCAAGGGCCCTCAGCCACCTCCTCACAACACAACCTGAAGTGGGAACACAAAATATTTTAAATCTTCCTAGCACAGGGCCAGCCAAGCATCCTTGGTGTCTTCCAGAGCTCCTCACGTCCCTTGGAGGGATCCATCACTTGTCACGTCAGCGCCCAGCCAGGAAGTTTTTCTCCCCTGTGACTTCCTGCTTCTCCAGCAACCCTTCCCCACAGCCCAGCTGGAAGATTCATCCCTGGACAAGATATTTCATAATTGCTTCTCCTGGCTTTCTCAATGCTTAATCATTTTTGCAGTCGTCTGCAAATGAGTCGAAGGCTTTGCTATGAGGAAGCAGAGGTACCTCCACCTCCCTTCCTGGTAATTCTGCAAGGGTGGGAAAAAATAAAAGCACATGTGACCGAGTTGTTAATAAGACATCCCAAACACAAAAACAAGCTAATTAAAACCAGGCATGACCTATTCATAAAATAAGTCCTTTCAACCTTAAAAGGAGGGGAGAAGCCTTTGAAGTCAGGCTTCATAATCCAGAGAGGTCCCTGCCTCCACCGGTGACCTCACTTGGAAACTCGTTCTTACCCAACGTTGTTAATGCCTTCCCAATGAAAATGGGCTTTGGAGACAGCTTGGGATTAACAATTGGTGAAGCCAAAGCCTCAGTAGAACGAGTTACCCAGGGTACAGAGGAGTCTCCAGGGGCTCTTCGCCAGGGCTGGGGCTCCTCCCGTGTTCCTACCTGAGGGGGTGACATCTCTCAGCGGGATTTTGGGCTGTTCTGCTGCAGCCTGCCATGAAACCTGGAAAGATGGGGTCCAACAAAGGGGGGATTCCAGTAGAGGAGGGACTGTCATCCCCCCTGTCCCGAAAGAAGAGCCAAGGGAGCAGCACTGGTGCCGTGTCTCAGCTCGGGAGAACACGGAGCAGAGATCCATCCATAAATGCAACATCTGCAGGGAGAGAGGGCAGGAAAAGCCCAGCTAATCCTGGGCTTTGAGGCAGCCCCCAGTAAGGACCAAAGGAACCTCCCCAGGAGACAGCCCTGCCTAATTGCTCGAAGCTTCATACTCCCCTCTCACACTCCCCACTGCGGCCACCACCGGGGACAGGGACATGGGGACACTGGGCCAGTTTGGCAACGCCCCTGTGTCTGCAGACATTCATCCCAACCCACTGCTGGAAACAGCCATTGTCTGTGGGCTTTGCTGTGAATGGAGCCAGATGCCAAGATAATCCCCTTATTAGGCTGATTCCTCTTCTGTTGCATCCTGCCTGACTCAGAGATCACAGAAAGCTCAGCAGACCAAAGAAACTACAGCACTGGCTGAGGAAAGGCTTGGGAAGAGGAGCTTGGGAGTGTCCACCGGGCTCCAAACAAAAGGTTGTGCTGAGAAGGGCCCAGAGAACAGCAGAGGTTCCCACTGGAGCAGGCACTGCCCAGGGGTCATCTACAGGGTCATCTGGTGTTAGGCAAGGGTTGACACCACAACCATCTCCCAAGGTAAGAATGAGTTTGTAGGACATCCGTCCCCCTGGGCAAAGCCATGGAGAGACTGGAAACCAAAGAGACCAAGCACAGCCCCCTGCACCATCTGGTAAGAGAAGAGGGGACATGGGTGATAGTCTGGAAAGAGACTCCAAGACAACTTCAAAACTACCAATGGTCTCTTCTTCAGACCATCAAGAACAAACTACCCCAGCAGAAATCCTATCCCAGGTTCCAACTTTTCCTTTTAAACACCAGCAGGGATCTGTGCGAATCCCACAGATTCCTTGCAGATCACAGAACCAGGGTCCAGCACCACAGACAAACGTGCTCCAACATCTCCCCCAGGCTCCTCCTGGGTCTTTGAAGGGAGCAGGGGAGAGATGTGACACAGGAGGGGAATCAGGGACAAGAGTTTACTGGACATCAGGGAATAATCAGAGCATCACTGCCCACACTTGGAAACTGAACTGGTGCTCCAGGAGCCAAGATGATTTCAGGAATGGTGCTGTAGGATTTTCAACAGTATATATGATTAGGATATAAAGAATATTAGTTTTATGGGAAGAACACCCTTCAGCAGGACAGGGCATGGTTTTGTGGGGGAAATACAGGTGGCAGCTGCACCAATGGAGTCACCAGTGTCACCTCCACCACTCTGGAAGCCCTGAGCCAGCAGGGATGGGGAAAGGGCTGCCACCTCCCCTGCAACTTGCCTGTTAAATGCAAAACATAACTCCTTGCCCAAGGTCAGAGAGCAGCTTGGGAAGGAGACAGGTGTCTCCTGGAGTCGGGGACATCCCCTCAGTGCAGGGCTCTGCCCGAGGGGGACACAGCCCCTCCCTTTGCACTAAGTGCTCAGCGAGCCCTGTCTGTGGGCTGCTCCAGCCCCCACATCCCTCGGAGGGGGACCCAGAGGATCCCCCCACAGCTCAGCCCAGGGCCTGGGGCTGCAGAGACACCGTGCAGGGAGGGATGCTGCATCCAGCCAGGCTGACGGAGCTGCCAAGCGCAGAGGCAGGCGCTGAGCGCCTCGACGTGGGGAGACACACACCAGCAGTGCCCCTCCTGCCTCAGCCAGCCTCTGCTCACAGCCAGCCTCATGCAAAAGCACTTCTCTTGCAGCCAGACACCTGCAAAAGCGCTTTTCTTTCAGCCCCAGCAGAGCCCAGGTCGGATCCACCTGCTCCATCAGAGCTCGGTTGCTCCCTCCGGCACGTTTTCTCTCCAGGTTTTCTGAGCTGTTTGCTCTTGATCTCTGTCTCGCTGTCTCCAGCCCCCCAGGGCTGTCTGTGCCCGGCTCTCTCCTGCTTGCCCTAGACCTGGTATCACAGGCTCTTTGGCTGTTTTACCTCGGATAAACTCTTCCCATGGTTACCAGCGTGAGCGGAGGCTGCACACGGGGAGTTGTGAACGAGGTCAAAATGAGGGGAAAACATCCCTGTGGAAAAGTGCCTGGAAATCAGGCACTATCTGTACAGGCTTGAATATCTTACAGCTGCAGCAAGGCTTCCTTTCCTCAGAAAACCCACCCACGCTCCCTAAAGCAATGAATGCATTCCCAATTCAGTGCCTGGCTCTGCTGGGTCCTTTGGGGATGCTGGAAAGCGTCACTGCCAGAGCACGGAGACAAATCCAGACCTCAGAGCACATTTCACTCACAACCTCTGCTATAAGGCAAGTTTGGGAATCCTGACATGCCCTGTCTGGGCCACATGGACATGGACATCACTGCTGGATCTGCCTAAGAACTCATGGGGTGTCACAGAGAGCACCTGCCACAAATTCCCACTTTTTGTCCCACTGCCTCCTGGAGCATCCTGCAGCAGCTGCTCTCCCCTGATTTGGCTACACAAGGTTTGAGCCCAAAAATAACCTTTTGATAGCTGGAAATCAGCTGTGGATTTGTGACAAAGTTAAGGGGGAGCTACTCACCGAGATTTTGGTGAAGATGGAGAGCAGGAGTGACAGGCTGGAAAGGTACATCCTGATCCTCTCCCCTCCAAACCTCCGCTGGAGATACTCGGGCACTGTGACAATCTGCTGGGGGGGAGAGAGAGATCACTGCCCTGTCCAGGGCCCACCCTCCAGGGATGGGGCAAGGGGACAGCAGTATTCCAGGGCAGGACTCAGGAGTCCCACGGGACAGTGGTGACAGTCCTCCTGGGAGCAGAGGTCCCCACAGCAGGCTCAGGACAGCTGTACATACCCCAGATGAGATGTAAACTGGCACGAACACCCAGGCGAGTGCCAGAAGAGCATAAGTCGCCTGTTGGGAAGGAGGAACATGGCATAGAGGGAAAAAAACATGGATCCTGCTGCAGCTCGACATTGACTGCATTCCTAGACCCTGTCCCTGCTCCTGACCCGGTCCTGGATTACCCCTGAGGGCACATTTACACCCCCAAATGGCTTCAGACTGCAGGCATGGGGTTCTGGTGGAGATCCCCCAGCACCCCTGCCAGCAGGAACCTGCTCCCCTCAGCCCTTCAGCTCCTGACTGGACATTTCCCACCAACTCCTTGAGCACCACACAAGCCAAATGCCCTTTTTTTTTTTTTTTGCTGCAGAACCCAAGGACTTTGGATTAAACGTGCAGGGAAGCAGGGAATGGGTGACCTATTCAGTCATTTCCCTGTCAGGGTCTGCAGGGGCTGGATTAGGAAATTGGATCCAAAATGTCCTTTTCCCTGAGCTCGTTGAGCTGAGCTGGCTGCGAACTCACCCTACACGAGCCGGAGGAGCTGAGTTAGCAGGGTTGTGTTAATTACCCCCCTGCACGGCTCCTCCTAAACCTTTCGAGACAGTGAAATGGGCCATCTGCTGCGACAAACTCATTTCCTTAATGACACGACACATTTCTTACATTCCACTCGAAGCCGGCGACAGCGATTCCCCCGGCGGCGCCGCTCCCGGCCAGGCCGATGAAGAGCCCGGAGCCCTCGCTGCTGGCAAAGAGCGAGGCCCCGATCTGCGGGAGCAGAGGAGGGGCTGCAGGTGCCCAAACGCTGGATCCCCACGGCTCTGCACGGACCAGCTTTGGTGCTTCCCCACCAGCGTAGCCCCGAGGGGATAATTCAGGAAAAGGAGGCAGGGAAAAATAATGCCTGAACGGGAGCAACAGGGCACAGACATCCCTTCCACTTCTGAAACGAAGCGTGGCCAAAAGGGCCCCCACGTGGGATTTCTTTTTTGCAAGAAAATCCCTTAATAGGTAAAACTCAGGTAGTTGTGAGTCCTAGGAACCAGCATGCCCATGGATCCAGCTCATCTGGACATCCCTGGTGGGTTTGGGATGGACTTTCTTGTCTTCAGGAGGATGAGGAGGAGCCACGTGTTGCTGCATTTGCCATGGTGGCCACTCACCCTGCCCGGATGGTGGCCACATGCAAGGAGCCAGTACCAGACATGGGAAGGACCTACAGCCAGTTTGTGAAGATTGTACCAAAATGAGAAGGAAAAACCAAACTTGGGACACCCATGATTTGTTGGAGCCACCAGGAGCATGCAGGGAGAGTGGAGATGGATATTGGACTCCAAGGATCCCTCCCCAGGCTCAGGGAAGCCCGACAAGCCCAGTGGGCTCCAGTACCCTTTGTGCAATGAGAAGGGAAATGCAGCTCCAAGGACATAAATCCTGGCAGGAGGAGGTGGGCAGGGTGGGGGAAAGCGTGGGCAGTGGAGAAAGCAGGGAAGGGATTTGGTGGGAGGGACAGTGGTGCACAGGATGTCCCTGTGCCCAGGGTGCCACAGAGGGACAGAGAGGTCTCTACTTACTGGCCACCAGGCCATGTCTCTGCCAGCAAGGAAATAGCCACTGACCGTGTTCCTGTTCACCCTGCAGGAAGACTGGGAGGAGGAAAGATCAGCACAGAGCACCCTTTCCCTAAAAACCCAGACCAGACACCAAGACCCAAGTCTCCCAGACGAGAAGCCAAGAGACAGGAGACTCGATAATTAATGGGAGCTCTGCAACTCGAGCTTAATTACACGAAAGGGTGGCTGCACCCCAGGAACCATGGAGCCATGAATGGCAAAGGGAGCTCCCTGAGAGGGGGAAGCACGGAGGATGTGCCTGTCCTTGTGCCATCCCGAGCAGACAGGTTGGCTAATAGGGCCCAGCTTTGGCCAGGATTTTTCCGCAAGGCAGAATAAATGGGTTTGGAGAGTCTTTGTCTGAAACTGCTGTAGCTGAGGGTTGTTTGTGTTATCAGGGCATCTGGCTCAACACCCTGTAATAGGCAAGGGGCAGAGCTGCTCACACCCAGCACACAGAGGCCAGGGGAGAGGTTTGTGCCATGGCTGATTCCACCTTGTTCCCAAGCTATAGGAGCCTTTCTGTAGGGGGTGAAAGGGGCAGAGGGTTTGCACAAAACAGAGCAAATCACAGAATCCCAGAACGGGTTGGGTTGGAAGGGACCTTAAAGGTCATATTCCATCCCCTTCCTAGACCAGGCTGCTCCAAGCCCCATCCAACCTGGCCTTGGACACTTCCAGGGATGGGGCAACCACAGCTTCTCTGGGAAACCTGTGCCAGGGCCTCGTTTGTCAGTTTGAAGCTGTTCCCTTCATCCAAAGTCCCTCCCCAGCTCTCTTGGAGCCCCTTTAGGCTCTCTAAGGTCTCCCTGGAGCCTTCTCTTCTCCAGGTGAACCCCCCCCCAGCTCTCCCAGCCTGGCTCCCCCAGCACAACACACAAAATACACAAGTGAAAACTACAAGAAAATAATGGAGGCTTTCACCAAAAAGCCAGCCCCGAAAAAACCCGACCATTCAAACAAAAAAGCAGAAATGAACAAGAGAAAAGACTCTTACCCATATTCCCACACCAACATTTAAGGAAAAATAAACCACTACCACAACAAGGTCAGCAACGCTGAACTGCTGCGAGGGGAGAACGGCCCCAGCAGTGGAATTGCTCTCCATCATCCCTCTGCTTCCTTCTTCATCCTCAGCCTCAAATGGACAGTCACTCAATCAGTAACTCATTAGCAGCCCGAGGGCATTTATCATTAAACAACCTGGCAGCAGGAATTGCACTTCCAAAGGCGCCTGAGTGGGCAGTGTGGCCTCTGCTGCCTCCCACCCCTCCGCTCCCCAGGGAGCTGAAACACCTCAATTTTGGTGCCTCACAAATGAACAGGCACAGAAAATGTCCCAGTGATGCTGTACACGATTCAATCCTTTTCCACCACTCCAATGAAAAGCCAAAGGACCAGCAATCCAGCCCCATGGATGAAATTTGCCCCCAAATTCTTGAGCCCTCATCAATACCATAATCGCTTTGCACGAAACGAGGCAAGGCTGGGGGCTTTGTGTTAAAGGAATGACTGAACACAGGAGTTGGGTGAATGCCCGAGGTGGAGCCTCAGCATGGCAGCAAAGGGCTGACCAGGAGAAACCCTCACAGAAGGGATCATAAATCCTGGAATCATTTAGGTTGGGAAAGCCCTCCAAGATCATCCAGTCCAACCGTTAACCCAGCACTCCCATGTCACCACCAAAACCACGTCCCCAAGTGTCACATCTACACGGCTTCTAAATCCCTCCACCACTGCCCTGGGCAGCCTGTTCCAACACTTGACAACCCTTTCCATGAACAAATTTTTCCCAATACCCAACCTAAACCTCCCATGGTGCAACTTGAGGCCGTTTCCTCTTGTCCTGTCACTTGTTATCTGGGAGAAGAGACCACTAACTGGCTGCGCTCTCCTTTCAGGGAGCTGTTGAGAAAGGAAGACATCGTTATTCCTTAAAGGCCAGCACGAAACAGACACAAGAAACCACCTTTGAATTCCATGTTTTTGGGTATTTAGCCATCAGTTTGCTGCGCTGGAGGCTTGGCTGGCTCCTTCCCAAGTGGCAGCACGCTTCCACAAGGTCTCACTAATAAAATAAACACAGTGCAACTAATATGCCCATCACCGAGTCAGGTCAGCGTTCCTCCTCCCTTTGAAGGAGCCGCAGCAGCAGCTCCACACATCCCTGAGAGGAGCCAACCTTCCCCCTCGCTGCCCCGCTGGAATTTGACCCGCATTAACACATCCAAAGTACTGACAAGTGTGAATACATCAGCCTGGTGTACCCATTAACGTTAAGGAAAACACCTGCTTTTATCCTCAGAAGTCAATGAACCCTCCAAAGCCCTTGGAAGTTCGTCTCACGCAGAGAATTGGTGTCGACAAAGGTCAACTTTCAGTTTCTAAGTCCCTGTTGCTCCCTGATATCCACCTGTAACACCTGCCAGTATTTAAGAGGACAGAGTCTGGAAGACAAGGGACCAGCACATGAACATTTTTAGAAAGCTCACACAAAACAAGTCTTTATTCTTTGTTGCAGAAAATAAATACAGGTGCATATTCCATATGCTTTTCTATAAAAGCACTCCTACAAAATCACTGAACTGCATACAACAGTACAACCTTTTTGGCTTTTAAAATGCAAATATTATACAGTCACTTCAGTTTGTTATCATTTAAAGCACTTGTAGCAAGCAGCTTTGGAAAAGGAATGCTTAATTTAGAAGCCAATTTCTTGCCTCAAGTGTTTTGTGGGATTTTTCCATCCTGTATAGTGCAACTAACCTAAAAGCAACTCGAACAGTTTTTTGTAAAATGTTTATTCCCACCCACCCCCCCTCAAAAAAAAAAACCTGCAAAGAAAAAAAAAAAGCTCTCAAAAACTGTTCTACCTCCATACTTAAACCAAGAGAAAACAAGAAGTGGCTCAACGGAAAGATTAAGGTAAAGCACGATGCTTCACAGCTCGTTCTCTGTTCACTTCCAGTTTGGCCCGGGGTGTTTCTTTAGAGTAAGAAGCATTAATCATCCAGTCCTATATTCCTGAAAAGGTACGACATGGACTCCCCGTTGTGGATCCTGCGAATGGCTTCCGAGAGGATCATGCTGATATCCACAGTCTTGATTTTAGGGCACTGGAGTTTCTGTATTTCATGTGGAATTGTGTTTGTAACAACCACCTACAGGAAGAGAAAATGATCAGGAGGACGTAGCTCCGTTATGTTTTCCACCTTCCCTATTGGAAGTGTGAAAGAGAGTTTCACAGATTTTATCAAGCCACCACTGCTGATAAGATTTTACATTATTGTCAGGGTCAAAATCCTAGGAAAAGTATCCATGGATACTAATGGCACTGTCCTTCTTTCATTCATTCTGCCACGAAGAGCCAGAGGAAGGTACAAAATATCCCCAACACTGAGGGGAAAGCTCCATTGACACTGGCAGTCCAGCACCTCACCATTTCCCACATTTCCCTCTCCTGCTGTAGCTTAAGGACAGGTAGATGTTTCCTTAAAAAAAAAAAACCAATCATTTGATCAGGATTCGGAATCCACACTTACCTCATCGATGGCAGACTCCTCGATCAGCCGGGGAGCGTCTGAAGACAAGAGGCCGTGGGTGGCCATGACAAAGATCTTGTAAGCCCCCCTCTCCTTGAGGGTCTCGGCCGCAGCCAGGAAGCTGTCGACATCATCGATGATGTCATCCTGCCAAGACACCACCGAGTCACCCACGAGTCACCACAGCCTCACACACAGCACTCAGACTGACAGGGCAGCTCTAGCAAGTACAGCAGAACCCAAACTATCAGAAGATTGCCCTTTTTTATGACAAGCCCAGAGATAACACCCTGCTTTAGAGAAACCACGACTGAATCACACAATTATGGAATGGTCTGGGTTGGAAGGGATCTTAAAGATCATCTCATTCCACCCCTTGGTGTGGGCAGGGACACCTTCCACTATCCCAGGTTGCTCCAAGCCCCATCCAACCTGGTCTTGGACACTTCCAGGGATGGGGCAGCCACAGCTTCTCTGGGAAACCCATGCCAGGGCCTCACCACCCTCAGAGGGAAGAATTTTTTCCTAATATCTAATCTAACCCTACTCTCTGTCAGCTTAAAGCCATTCTCCCTTGTCCTGTCACTCCAGGTCCTTGGAAATAGTCCCTCTCCATCTTTCCTGTCGGTCCCTTCAGGCCCTGGAAGGCCACAGTTAGGTCACCCCGAGCCTTCTCCTCTCCAGGCTGAACAATCCCAATTCTCTCAGCCTTTCCTCACAGCAGAGGAGCTCTATCCTTCTAATCAACCTGGTGGCCTCCTCTAGACTTGCTCCAACAGGTCCATGTCCATCATCTCAGCTTCACTAAAACTCCTGGACAGAAACACAGTGATTCTCCCCTGCTCTGATGTGCACCTGAAACCCCTCTCCTTCAGGTAAGCACTGAACAGAGTTTCACCTGCCCTACTCAAGGAAACAAGGTCCAAACTCTGCTTTTCAGCATGGATCACTTCACAGTGTGCTCAGTCCTGCCCCATGGAATCAAAAGTCCACCAGCAACCCAAGTTTAGTGGCTGATACAGAATGTTTAACTTGATTTCTTCAACTTTAACACGTTTAACATCATTGATGAGAAGTGAGGACATCTTACCACGATGATAGCTATTCTTCCTCCCACATCTCCAACAACTGTGATGGGTGGCTTTTCCTTGGGAATCAGCACTGATTAAGGGTAAATTGGTTTACAGGGATAGAAAGGAGAAAGAAAAGAGAAAGTTTATATAATTTACTTTAATAATGTCTGCTGGGTCACCACAGTTAAGAGAGAGACATGGATCAACAACTATTTCAACAGCATTACTGGGAAAACCAGCAGGACTTTAATACATAAATGATCTTTTTAAGCTTAGTTAAAATATTAACTACATTCATTTACACTCAAATTGTGAACCAGTTCAACGAATTCTTAATTTTAGCACAGAAACAAAGTGGCTGGCAGACACCACCAGTTCCTTTTTGCTGGCCCATCACTGCCAGCCCCATTCCCCAAGAAAAGGCCAGGCAACACTTTCCCACACACACTTACTTACTGGGGATCTCCAGACTGGGGTGAATAGCAGCGACATATTTGGCTGTGGGTGGGGAGTGCCGACCATCCACCATGTCAGACTCGGCATCCTGAGCTTCCCCGTGGATCACAGCGATTCCCAACCGCAGGCGCTCAGCGAACGACTGTGCCCTGCAGGGAAAGGATTAAAAAACACCAGGAACGCGTTAAATTTAAAATAATTCACCTACATACAATCCTATTTCCATTTTATTTCTACCATTTCAGAGGAAAATTAAATGATCCTAAAATTTTAGGAGGACACATGGAAGGAACCACTTGCCCCTTAGTATCTTGATTCCACCAGGTTTGTGAGTCAGCATAACTCTGAAAGTGCCCATATGGGCCTTGAAGCAACAGGATAAATGTTGCAAGTCACATAATTGTGATTACTCCCTTCTGCTTTGCCCAACAGCCAAAAAACCATTCCCTAGCCTTCAGCATCCTTGGGATTCCAATGCTTTAGGAATCTCATCTAACAGTAACCAAGAATAGTCTTGATGTCTAGATTGTCTACATTTCACAGGAAAAAATATATATTCATATGAAAAAAAAGTGTTCACCTATTTATTTTTAGCACTAAATAAAGACAATATCCCTGACCTGCTGACACAATCTGAGATACCCTGTGGAAAAGGGGGTCCAGATGATCATTCTGCCTGGCAAACCACACTTCAAGCTGAACAGCCTGGATTTTATTATTAGCTGACATAAAGTTCCTTCACAGCACGGTATTTCTTTGACTAAAATTAGAAATTTCTGGAAAGAAGTGTGAGGTTAGCTGGGGGAGCGGGCAAAGCAGAGAGCCAGGAAAATGGGAATTTCACAGACAGTGCTTGTATCCCAGATACTGGAAGCAGCAAGTGTAAATTAGCACATCTGTCCCACCTTACCTTGCACACCCAAAGTTTGGGACCCTGCCCAAGCCACCCCATCTCACCTCCTCTGGTCCAAGTGAACCCAGCACATCTAAAGTGAGTCACTCTGCTCTAACATCAGCACCTCAGACCCGTGCCTGAATCATCTCCTCTATCCTTA